TGGCCCACTCGTTATGCTGGCCCACTCGTTATGCTGGCCCACTCGTTATGCTGGCCCACTCGTTATGCTGGCCCACTCGTTATGCTGGCCCACTCGTTATGCTGGCCCATTCGTTATGCAAGTACGTTAATTATTTTCCCGAAAATTGAGACTTCTGTTCCCGCAGCAATGGGACTTCTGCCGTTCGCACAAGGTTGAAGCGAGTAGAATGAGGTAGGGCTGGAATGCTTGCTAGCCGGAGCTCTCTCTTTCCCGGGAATCAACTACCCCACTATCCACTTCCAAGTATATTACAACCTGAACTGATATTGAGAACTACCTTATACCTGAGCTTTTGCGTAGCTTGTCTCGAACGCTTGTCTACATTACGGAGATCCTCTAACAACTGAAGCGGACCTTGCCGTTAAACAGAGAACTGCGCAGCACTGGCGCAGTGCGGGTGCTGTCGACCTCTATATGCAGTTATACACTACATTACATCTCCCAACCTAACATCAAAGTGGCACCTATCTCGGTGCCTGGTATCCCGCTATTTTGGTCCTCAGTCTACCCTAGACCAATGAACCATGACTGCAAACCCAACCAACGCCCTTGCGCCAAGCTGATATCCGCAAAATCCGGTCATGACAGATTGATGGGGACCTCCCCGAGGAGTTTCCAGGACGGAAATTCCCATTCCTCCACCTGCGGGCCGGCACCTTGGTCAAACATCACGTATACCCTCTGATTGTCCAAGGGCAAGCGGCCCACGTCGGTTGAGGCAAGGCCCAGGTAGGTCCGGTTCGGCTTGAGCAGGTTGGCGATACGGCTATCCTGGTTTACAAACCCGCTCGAGCAATTCCACGAATACAGCGTCAGGTTCCGGCGGTCGGCAGTGGCGAAGAGCAGATTGTGCGTCATGAAGTTGTCTCTATTCCTTGCGCACTCCGGTATCGCGTTTTGGGGAAACAGCTTGCGGTTGTCTTCCACCGTCACGCACAGAGGGGTTTTCGGGGAGAGGTCAATGCCAGTGTCTAGGGTTCACAAATTGTCAGCATTCCTCCCGGATACCCGGAACTTGTTTGCTAGATCCCGGACGCAAGCGAGGGCGGTCGAGACGTACTGAAGGGGTCTCCCAATGAGCTTGAGTTAAGATTGTATTGCAACTGCTTCAGCTTTCCGTCCGTTCCGCCAATGTACAGAATCATCTCCGTTCCGAGCCCTGCAGGCGCGGCTACAATTGGCGAACCGTTTTGAATTGCTATGCTGTGACTGGTCTTCTCCCACGGTACCGGGTCGGAGTCGCCTTTATCGACATATTTCGCTATCGCGAGTGAGTTCTCGCCAAATTCCTGGTAAAAGACTGCGATGATCAAGTCACGCGTGCCCAGGTCCTGATACCAGTATGAAAAGAGCGTTCCGTCGTCGGACAAGCCGTAGAAACCCATCTCGGAGTAATCTTCGCCCCAGACCGATTGCTCTACGCCAGTCGGGGATTGCCGAACGATGAGTTGACCGGCGGGCTGGAGGTAGTAGACGTTTTTCACCTGAGTGGCAGCACAAGCGCCTCTTATGTTAGTGGTCCTCCGCTCCCAAAGTACAGCGTAAGCACGGCCCTGACTGAGAATGTTTACGCACCAGGTCCAAGCTTGTGTTTGTATGGGGATATCCGGTCATCGCGGCGATGGGCGTCCCTTGTTTGATTGCGTCCACGCCTGCTTTGGTGACGGGCTCGACCTTCCAGAGTTGGCCGTCGGAGTTCCAAGCAGACTCGACTATCTGTGTTCCGTTCCACTCCTTCCACTGAGTGTAGACCCGGTATTGGTTAACATCTCTGGTGTCCATGTAGTAGAGAGCAGCGATGCTCAGATTTTGGAAGGGAGCTGGATTAGAGACTGTAGAGTTCCCCGGATTTGTAGAATTCCCCGGGTTTGTAGAGTTGCCCGGGCTTGTGGAATTGCCCGTATTCTCCGAGTCGCCGGCGCTGTTTGAGCCTGTGGCGGCTTGAGCTGCTGAACGACTAGCAATGGATCCTCCGACTCCGCCCCCTACCGCAGCGGCGATGATGATCAAGGCAGCTGCTCCCACCAGAATCCAGAAGACCTTGCGACGGATGCCACATATCGTCGGCGGCGGCGGCGGTGGAGGAACCGGGGGCACAGGCTGCAATCCTTCGCCATCCTCCGGCATGTGTGAAAAGGCAATCTTGTCGCCATCCCCGAGCGGGGGTGAATAGACAATCTTTCCACTGTTGTGCAGGTCGTGTGCGATGGGATGACTGGCAGGGTCCGTCTCGGCCCATAGGACTTGCTTGTGGTTTCCGTCGTAACCATGGGGAGGAACCCCCGGGCCAGATGGGTAGACTTCTAGGCCCGGTTGGACCGCTTCAAGGTCGCTGTAGCCCAGACCTGGCCCATTATGATTGTGAAGAGGTGCCGCCATCTTTCTGGTGCCACGAGCAAAAGGTCAAGGACTCAAGGGAAGCGTTGGCGAGACCAAGACCGCGACGCAAGCAGCTGGAGCGGCGGCAGCGAGCTATACCATGGTGTTGGAGTCGTTGAACAGTAGGAACAGAAAAGTTTCTGTGCCTTGGGGACTGTGAGATTGGCAGGACTGGTGCTCCTGGAGCCAAGGCACTCGTGAGGTGGGGGCGGAATCACAGCATTGGATCACCAACAGGGTAATTAACTAGCCGGCCTTAGTTCCAAATCCTTTAAGCTCATTTAAGCGCCTGACTTGAGACGACCAACATGAGAGAGCGTAGAAGAAAATGAAATTCAGAATCACGACGGCCAATTCGCCAATCTCTACAGGCGTGGAAGGCATCGACGCAGAGCATTCTTGCGAGTGTGGATCTCCAAATGCTCTGTCCCCTCGTCCCTCATGTTGAATCAATCAATTGTACGGAGCACAGATAGAGTGTAATGCCAAGGCTGAGAAAATGACTTGGAGTTGCAGTGCAAGTTTGGCGGAGCCTTGTCGGGACTTGGAAGTTGAAGTTGGATTAACATTTTGATCCAATCATTTTAGGTTTCATGGACAAAATGCGACACGGAGGTGGCGCGGTTACATGTCCAGCGCTTGTCACGGTTGACGCCGACGGGTTACGGTTGTACTGTAACGTTACAAAAGCCTACCTTTGTGTAGTAGCGTACTGTAATACAATACATAGAGCCCACAGTTGCGCTTACGCTGCCACCCGGGCTCGCCTGGTGTGTTCGCTAGCGCTAGCGCCTAACATGAAAAGAGGGGTATCCTTATGTAAGCCCAAAATCTCGATCTTGACCGAAACCCAGTTAATTTTTCGACAACAAAATAGACAAATACGACCATTCGGAATATTACCACGTGCTCTATTTTGTTGCGTTGAATCATTACCTATGGTCGTTGAGAGGCATCTTTTTGATGTTTTGAACAGATCTGGTTGTGAGTATCCGTACTTACCAAGCTAACAATATCCGAAGCTTAGGTAATCAATGGGACCTGACCACCCGTCCACCTCGAGTGATGCATCGTTGCATCGTGCCTACCTGCAGAGGCATCCTTCCAGCAGATCAATCACCAATTTGGGGAGACTTTTTGTCGACTGCCTTTTGAAGCAAACCGGAACTGGGCGTTGCCTCCAACTTTCCAACGAAGCTCGGATTGGTTAAGAATGACCAGTGTCTTCCCGCTCCAGTATTCTTGGTTTGAGCAAACCATGGTCACTTACTCCGTAGCGGCATTTCCAAGATCCAAATCCATGTCCCAACCACAGGTTGGAGTTTAAGTCATGGCCCCGGCTTCGCCTCTGTCGAGACGCGTCCGGTCTCTGGTTGTCGCCTTTAGTGTCTTTGCCCTTACCGTCCTGACATCAAACGCGTCAAACGCGTCCTGGCAAACATGGGGCCCCTATCGGCCAAATCTCTACTTTGGGGTCCGCCCACAGGTCCCGGAGACTTTGCTCATGGGCTTGATGTGGGCGAGCGGCGACAGTCGAGATAAGCTCCTAAGCAGTGAGTACTAGTACTTGTGAGAGACCATCAGTGTCTATGTGAGCCAACCCTCATGTATCCCGTCTCCAGCTCTTCGCGATACGTGCGAGCAAAACGATGGCATGAGAGGTTACGGATGGACTTATTACGACACTCGCCTTGGAGGCTCTCAGACAATGCACGACACGCAGCTACAGCTTGATCTCGACACGGATTTTCTCAAGACAGAGGATGGGGCCACCTGGGCTGTTCGAATAACCGGTACTCCAGACCCAAGTGCCCCCGATGTGAATACCTCGGTCATCCTCCATGTAGCAGTGGAGAACGTGACTTCAAATGGACCAAAATCTCTTGTCTGCGAAAAACAGACTGAGGGCAAGGATGGAATCGAAGCCGTGTGTCGGGGAGAGATAGCCGCTCTAGGCGAGTTAGAGCTCAATGTGCTGGGCGACGCCATGAACAATTTGGTATACAACACCGCCGTGAAGAGTGTGCAGGTGCCAGAAGACAAGATCTGGCAGGCGAAGTGTACAGTACCAGTTGATTATTAATCTAAGCCTCGGATCGAGCTAACGTCCGCCTAAACAGCTGTCTTCATCGATCATCTCAGAGCTCTTCCCGGGAACCAAATGACTCTGGAAGATGCTGCTGGCGCTGGAAACATGCACTTCGTCCAGTTGACCTTCCAAGGCCCATTCAAGCTAATGCTTACGTATCACGGCGTAGAAGCCACGCCCCTGAACCGTAAGTCATGCCTTTTTCAGTAACGGCGTTTGTTCGTTTGGCTAACATGATATTGGCCGCAGCAAATACCGTCGAGAGTGGTCTCAGCTCTCTCCGCTCTACGTTCCCTTCCACTGTGGATAGGGTATTTCCAAGATCATCACCGTTTCAGCAGGACAAGTATGCCAAGTTCACGCAGGAGATCCTATCGAACTTGCTTGGCGGATTAGGCTTCTTCCATGGAGACACCAAAGTGGACTATTCAAACGCCACCGAGTATTTGGAAACCGACCTCGACTTCTGGCTGAAGGCACAAGCTGCCATGGCTCGCGCTCCGATCACAACCACGGCTCCCCTGACCCTCCTCACCCACACGCCCTCGCGGCCTTTCTTTCCGCGAGGGTTCCTCTGGGATGAGGGCTTTCACCTGCTTCCCGTCATCGAGTGGGATCTAGACTTGGCTGTCTCCGTTCTCCAAAGCTGGCTCAACCTGATGGACGAGGATGGTTGGATCGGTCGTGAGCAGATCTTGGGCCCTGAAGCTCGCAGCAGAGTGCCCGCGGAATTTCATGTCCAGTATCCCCACTACGCCAACCCTCCAACACTTTCACTGCTATTCCCGATCCTGATTTCCAAACTCGCGGGCACATCTCCCTATGCCGGCCACCCCTCTACCTACCTCTCGTCGCCAGATGATGCTTCGAGGATGCTAAAGGATTTATACCCGCTCCTCGCACGCCACTACCAATGGTTCCGCCGCACACAGGCGGGAAACTTCACCGGCGCCTATCCACGTCCAGAAGGTGCTATTGCTGGAGAAGGATTCCGCTGGCGGGGCAGAACACCCATGCATTGCCTGACCAGCGGACTTGATGACTATCCTCGGGCCAATCCACCGCACCCCGGCGAGCTTCACGTCGACGCTCTCGCGTGGGTTGGCGCCTCGGCCAATGCGCTTCAGCAGGTCGCAAGGCACCTGGGCGAGCAAGCCGACGCCGACATGTACGAGAAGCATGTGGCGGCGGTGAAGCACAACCTCGACGCTCTCCATTGGGATGCGGCGAACAAAACATACTGCGATGCGACCATCGCGAGCGACAATTACACGCTCGTCTGCTACGAGGGATACGTGTCGCTGTTCCCGCTCTTGCTGGGGCTCATGGACGCAGACCACCCGAATCTGCCGGCGGTGCTGGACCTGCTCTCGGACCCGGCCAAGATGTGGTCCGACTACGGCCTGCGGAGCCTGAGCGCGGCCGACCCCAACTACGGCAAGGACGACAACTACTGGCGCGGCGCCGTGTGGATGAACCTGAACGTCCTGGCCGTGCTCCGCCTGCGGGACGTGGGCCTCCAGAATCCTGCGGGCCAAGGTCGCACCCCTGTCCAGACCAGAGCGCTGTCGCTCGCGGCCCAGCTCAGGGAGCGCCTGGTGAACACGGTCTACAACAGCTGGGAGCAAACGGGCTTCTTCTGGGAGCAGTACAGCGACAAGACGGGCGAGGGAACCCACAGCAGGGCCTTCACGGGCTGGACGGCCTGTGTCATTCTGCTGTTGGGCCTGCAGTTTGATAAGACCACAGTGGGAAGGGGGATGGACATCGCCAGCCTGGGCTCGTCTTCCAGCACGCTGTCGTTTTTTTGGTGTCGCTAGCGGCTCGGTCGCGCTTTTCGTTATCGCTACGGCGTTGAGGAAACAGCTCATGGCGATCGCGGCTCGTATAGTCAAGCCCTGGAGTGGCTGGACGAAGAAAGGTTCACTGGCGCAACCGCGATACGAGCAGGTTTTTGATCTAGACGAGCGTGGCCTTTGAAAGCAGCTGTCCCAGTTGGATAAACTAGTTATCATTTACACTACGCCAAAGCTTTTGAACTGCGCCGCTGTGACATCATGCCGCCCCTCTACTCTTGAGCAGCGATAACCACCAGCTAAATAGCGTCGGGAGCTCATTTTGTCTCGGAGCAGACCTTCTCCACGGTTTGTCTCATCAGGGCAGAAGCGGTTGTCCGATGATGAATGTCTCCTTTTGATCTTGGAGCAGTCCCTCGTCGGCATGATCCGAGTCCCGCTACAGAAGAGCAATGGCCCCTTTGTAGGGTATTGCGGCCAATCTTGCCCGAGCCAACTTCTTGGGCGGCGGTTCCCAAGCTCGCCAAGCTGCAATGTGAACGGAGAGGCCCTTGAACTGGATGCTGGCGAATCTAGCACTTCAACCTTGCTGTCAACCACCATTCCATGCCTTGGGCCATACATACAGCTTACATCAGGAAGCGTTAACACGCACGCAGAACAATTGCCACGAATGTGTCGTCTGCACATGTCCAGATTTATTTTATCACCCCACCAACTCTTCTCATATAGTACATGCATATATCATCCATCTCATCGGTCATGAGTTCATCCGAGACATTATCCCCTTCCAGAAATACACAGTACATACCTATACGTTTCGCCCCTTTTGCCCCGTTTCCTCCTATCCCGAACAAACCCAGGTAAGTATGCAAGGTATCCATAAGAATTGCCATCCACCCAAACAAAAAAGAGGACTAAGAAATTCAATCTGGCAAGCGCCTAAGGTATGCTTCCCGTCTCAGGCCCATGCCCATCCACAGGCACGGGCATCGGCACAGGCATAGGCACATCCACATCCGCCCAAGGAGCCCACCCCCGTCCCCCGGGCTTCCCGCTGCTGAGAACAGGCCGAGCCGTCATAGTCGGCGTCCCGTCATCCATATCCACGTCATCATCAACACCACCGCCGCTACCACTGTCTGCACAGCCTATGTGGGTGTGATTTTCTCGACCATTTTGCTCAGGATTTGAGAACGACCATTGATGCTCACCACCATCGTCAGACGACAACAAACTGCTCACGTCCGACATTTCTACATCCCCGTCAACACCGCCACTGCTATTGCTGCTGCTGTTCCGTTCAAAAACCGACGAGGCCTGGCTGGTGACAGACTCGACGCTCGGAGTCGGGGGCTCGGTGGCACCCACACCCATCCCCGTCGGCAACGTCGGTTCGGGTGTAATCGTCCCCTCGCGACTCCCGAGGTAGGCGCGTGTCGTGTTGCTGCTCTCGTCCGGAAGCAAGATCGGGGGTATCGGGGTTGGCTCGCGGGTGCTGCTTACATCCGGAAGTAAGGACGGGGGTATTGGGGTTGGCTCGCGGGTTTCTGTTTGCTGTCCCTGTGCCTGTGCTTGTGTAAGGGCCGGCGGCGACGAGGCTGTGGCGTCATTGGACGCCCGGGCCGGCGGGACCGGCGCGGCAAGCAAGGGGATCTGTGTTTGAGCTTTGGCTTGCTCCTCCTGGGCAGCGGCCATTGCGGCGGCGGCGAGGCGGGCTGCTGCTGCCTGCGTCTGGCTTCTAGTTCGCCTTTGTCGTGGCGTTGGTACCGCAAGGACTGGGACTGATACGGCCAAGGGAGGAGCAGCGGGCGGCGGAGGTTGCGCCTTTGTGTTTGCGTCTGCTGTCGCTACCGGCGGAGGATTCCCCCCTTCCTCGCCATCCTCGTCCTGCCCAATGGTCCACACCCACCTCCGCTTCTTCTCCAACCGTTTGCTGCTCCTTTTGCGGATGCCTCCACCTCCTGGTGTTGACGCGACCGGAGTCGAGGCATGCATGTTTGCCATACGTCGACGCATCTCCTCAAAGGGGCCCGGCGTCTGGCCCCCATCCCGGGTCTGGTTTACGTGGGCCATGGCCTCGTCCAGCGCGTTGTCGCCGTCATCTGAGGATGATGTTAAGGGTGATACAGGAGTGGAATCTTCGGCGAGGAGGTCAATGTGGGATTTGACGTATTTGCTGGTTGTGATGGTCTGGGTCAGCGGGCTGTTGTAGGCCACACGGCGCGCCGCTTTTTCTTGCAAACGGAGGGACTGTCGCCTTGGTGACTCGGGAGATTTTGTGCTGAGCGGCGGGAGCGGCGAGTTGCGGAGGATGCTGCGGAGAGTGCGCGGGTGAATATATGGCAGCTTGACCGTTCCTGAGGGCATTGACGTCCGTCTCTTTGGGTTTTGCGTCGCCGTCTCCGGTGCCTTCACATTGTGCGCCGTTGCCGTCGCTGCCGTCGAGGACGCGGTGGCCATTGTGTCAAACGTGAACACATGATTGCCCTTTTGGTCTGAGGGTTGAGCCGACAGCGGAGGCGTCGCCGTCATGACAGCGCTCGGGAAGCAGATTTCCTTGGATATTGCTGGTGACATTGGCTGGGCCGTTATCGGTGTGTCAAGGTAGGGTCCCAGGTAGGGCGGGTGAATCGGGCGGTCCTTCACGGCTACATCTTGTGTTTGCAAACGCAACACCGGCCTCCCATTCAAGATTGCTGTCGGGGGGTTCTCCCGAACCGGCGTTGACCGGTCAACAGCGGTAGCATACACATTAGAGAGCGTATTGAAGGCGGTTGGAGACTTGACGTCCACAGCAGCGGCTAGGCATCTCGACGTCCGGCCAGTCCGGCCATTGGCAATGGCATTGATCTGGAGAGACAACCTCGGCCTCTTCGGAGGACTCGATGGAGATGTCGACATGGCGGATGAGGCGGGCCTCGTACCAGAGCGGCCTACTTCCAGATCCCAGCGCCGGATCACAATCACAGAGAATCGGGCCACCTGCGATCCCCTAAGCCAGCTAGGAAATTGGCAGGCGAGCGATCTCACGGATGGCCAACAGGTGATGACGGGGGGATCAGATGTGTGAGTGCCAGAAAAGCGGATCGCGAACCTTCGGAAGCGGGGGCGCGAATAGGGGTTTGAGCGGCTATATACAGTGATTGTTGGGTGTAGCGTCACCCACCCGATTACAACCCCTCATGATGGTACGTATGGGTCTTCCATGCTGAGTGTGCATGCACTGGCGGCTAGTGTGGCATGGACGAGGATTGGGGGAAAGCAATTGTTGAGTGGGAAGCGCCGGGATCGGTAAGGTATGTACGTACGTGCCTCTGACTGCAGGTGCAGCACACAATGTGAAGGCTCGTAGGAAGCTCAAGAAGGCGGGATGGACCGCAGGCGGTACTGTGGGGATTTGCTGACACTGCAGAGACTGCACAGGCAATCTGATGAATGTGGGACTGCAGGGACTGTGTGACGCGGGCAACGAATGGATTCCTTGGAGTGATTGGGGGCGATGGGTGGGTACGAATCGGCCTCCGCATCTTTTGTTCTGCACCGGAAAGGCAGTTGCTCCCCAGATGGTTGGCTGTTCGCCGGAGGGAAGCTGGTCGGTCGTCCTTAGTGGCCAGCACACTTTATGCATCTTGCAGGCGCTGGCGCTCAGCCAGCCAATAACGGCGCTTGGAATCCTCTGCAGGCGGTGTCACGTCGCGTCTATTCCTGCCTGACCCAATTTAGGAGCTCAATTTGGCGCCAAGCCGGTAACGATAGACGCCACTGGGCCCAACCATTGTTCTCTGGTGTTGACCGCTACAAAAAGGTCGGGCGGGAGGGTTGTCGTATGACCACGACGCTGGATTCATAGAACAGACACTTTCCCTATGTCTTTCTTCTATCGAGCCTGATGCGTCCACGGGTCCTTTCTTTGCTCATTCCGAGTCGCCTTCACAATAGTGCAAGGTCTCGCAGCCGCTTAACGGATAGCTCCTAATACAGCCCCACGTGTATGTACTGTACAGTACAGTACATTCTTACACTACAATTACACTATTGGCAAGGCTTCCCGCATAAGGACCGAACCTCGCCGCCGGATAGTTCCAGGGCTGGCCTGGAACTATTCGCAGTCGCTGAGTCCAAGCACACGACGGACACTACATACGTGTACTGCGTGGCTAAGGTCAAATAACACCGTCTGAATCCGAGAAGGACGCCACAGCCATGCCGGTTTACAACGGGATCTCTCAACCGTGCAAGAGTGCAAGTACATACCTGGTAAGATATGGAGCCGGATGCATACCGACAACAAATTACATACACGTCCAACAACCACAATATTTTGCACAACTAACTGATCAGTGTACCCGCGATGACCTGGTCGAGGGACAAAACGTGGTGCCTGGTGGGTCCAAGCCCTTCCGCTCCCATGGGAATTCCAGTAGTGCACAGTGAAGAGGCGAAAATGAGCCGGCACTATGTTAAGTGTGCCGGGTCATGCGCGCTGGCACTGCCCGATATAGACATAATCCAAGATATTGCCGGTGGAATGCGAGTTCGGAAAACGGTCGTTCTGATTCCATTGATGTTGTTTATCACGGATAACTACGGATAGAGGGCGATCAAAAGCGGCGATCATGAGCGGGTTTTCAAGTTCAAGCGGATACGCACAGACCAGTTGCCGAGCGTTGCCTAAAATAACACTTGGCGACCGGCCATTTCAGGGAGGCAGGGACTTCAGATGGACCCGAAAGCTTGGTTGAGACTGCCATCTCTTGTGACCGTAAGAGCATCTACTCCGTAATGCGTTTGTAAATACTAGAGGTACCTACCTAACATATCCTGGTGAATAAACACCCAAGTGACAACACATCATTAATTGACCGGCTGATGCCTTTATTGATGGCACATCTCAGCGTCGAGCCCCCCTCTGCCGACGACAGTAGCAATGGACCTCCCGGACCCCAAGAGGAAAGCGCCGCGGGCCAGACAAGACCGGGTCATCTTGCACTTTGTATACCTCCTCCCTCCTAGGTTTTCTCTGTCCCGTCCCTGATCTGCATGACATCCCGAGTATGTGGCCCTATCTGACACTGCAACCGTTTTTTTCTTCTATCTAGGACCTCGATTGTTTCTACGCTCAGGCACGTCACCCCACAACCTGACAGCCGATCGCCAACGCCAAACCCAGGCGGACCCATAGCTTACAATCTCCCCCCCCCCCCTGTCCAGTGTGTCGAGAACAAGCAGCCTTCGCTCAAGACGTTGCCGCTTGGCATCAAGCAAAAGGGCATCATCGCGACATGCAACTACGTAGCCCGGCGCCATGGCGTCAAGAAGCTGACGACCATTGCCGAAGCTAAGAAAGCCTGCCCGGACCTGGTTATTGTTGAGGGCGAGGACTTGTCCCCCTTCCGCGATGTCTCCAAGCGGCTGTACTCACTACTCCGATCTTACTCGTGGAACGCCAAAATTGAGCGTCTCGGGCTTGACGAGGTGTTTCTTGATGTTAGTGATGTTGTTTCATACAACATCGAGCTCCTCAACAAAAACGCACTGCACCAGTCCTATTTTTGTCTCTCACCGTCCGATCCCGAGGCCGGCTTCGCATTTGACGCCACGTCGTTTGCCGGCTGCGTCCACGGTAGAGATAACGGGCCTTCTGATGACAGTGTTCTGCGTATGCGGCTGTTGCTTGGCTCTCACCTCGCTCAGTACTTGAGGTTCAAGATTGAAGAGGAGGGCTACACGAGCTCCTGCGGGATATCTACCAGCAAGTTGCTGGCCAAACTGGCCGGGGACAAGAACAAACCACGTAATCAGACCACCCTCCTTGCACTCGGGCAAGAAGAGATTTTATCCTTCATGGACGGCCACAAGCTTCGGAAGGTGCCCGGAATAGGCTCTAAGATTACCCGAGTCCTCGAGGGATTCGTGCTTGGCAAAGAAATGGACCTTGACATGCACTCAATGGAATGCTTCACTACAGTCGGCCAGGTGCGTACACACCCTGGCATCTCGCCTCCAGCACTTGAAAAGCTTCTGTCCGGCCCAGGCTCCGAGAGGGGCCTTGGAAACAAGGTTTGGGCCCTTCTCCATGGCGTCGACGATACAGAAGTGAAACCGGCCCGTGATGTCCCAACACAGATAAGCATCGAAGACACTTACAAGGGACTCAACGAACCGCAAGAAATCATGCGCGAGCTTCTAACACTTACCGCCTCCCTTCTCCGTCGCATGCACATTGACCTTTTGGAAGATGATGACACACCTGGAGACGCCGTCGGCGGTACACACTCTACACTGGCGCGCAAGAGGTGGCTGGCGTACCCCAAGACCATCCGCCTCACCACACGGCCCTATACGTCGCCAACTGACAACAAACCGTATAATTGGGCCCGCGTTTCCCGCAGCTGCGCCCTACCTGGCTTTGTCCTTAACAGCACCAACAATCCGAGCTCATCATCCGCAGAGCAAATAGTTAACCGTCTAGTCACTGAAACCTTGCTGCCCCTGTTCCACAAGCTAAATGCGGAGAAGCAGCGCGGATGGAATATTGGCCTGATAAATGTCTGCGTGACCAACATGACGGGCACGGATGGCGGCGTGGCAAGTGGGAGGGACATTGCCACCATGTTCCGGCGCCAGGAGGACATTCTGCGCGACTTCAGAGTTCATAACGAGGACATGAAAGGCGAGCATAGCCCCGGGCGAGGCCAAGACAGTGTAATGAAAGGCGGTCGCCCGAGCCAAGACGATGACGAAGAGAGCCAGGACTCCGACACGTGGGATCATCACGACGCCCACGACTTGGATGAGGACTTGGACAGGGACCGATGTTCCCTATGTGGGCATTTCATTCCGCGCTTTGCCATGTTGGCTCATGAGCGATATCACCGCATGGATGCGGACCGTGAGGTTCAGAAGGGCTGGGCTACCGGTCCATTCCAGTACCGATAGCTACACGAACAATTCAAGCCGTTGGCATCCATCAAACCAGGCCACGAACAGTATGTAGTTCCAGTTCCAGTTCCACTCCACCTTCGACTTACGAACCTGTGGTGTAGTATCCACGTATTTGTGTTTCGTGGTGTATTCGTCTTGTAGCCAAGCTGGTATCGCCTTTCGACCGCGTACCTGTCGTCCACATCAGGACCGTAGATTGCTTCTCAGTATACACAGGGCTATATGCACCGCCGACCTTTCCACAACATGATTGATGGATTGATGGCATGTACTGTAAACGAGGGGCAGAAGCCCAATACTACAGCAAGCGGCAAGCATAGAATATCACTCTGCTATTAGGTATTTCGGTATGTATAACGTCCTAATTTCCTCGACAGCTGTGTTAATCCGTTAGACCGGTTGAGATTTCCCATCCCACCCATTACCCGAGCCTAGGTCCATGTCTTGATCAAATCAACAGTATGCTTCAAGCCAATCTTCCGAGCAACAACCCTCTCCATCTATCATTATAGCACCCGAAAAGGATACCATACAATTTCATGTTTTTCCCTTCCTTGTCTTGCCGGGGTCAGCCATTATGAAGCCGTCCCCAATCGCCCGTTGAGCTAACCTTTAACCAGTACCAAGCGCACATCCCTACAGCGCACAACCTCAATGCATACGCATACATGTACATACAAAGGGGTATCATCGTCATCTATATAAACTCCCCTGGCCATCTATAAAACCAAACAACACCCTTTGCCCTGCCGTTTGGAGGTTGGCTATTAGGGAGAGCGGAGAACACATGTTGAACTTAAGAGAAATCAGGGACAGATAAGAAAGGAAAAAACACAAATACAGAGGAAAAGAACGACCCCAGAGATATGCATAGCATTATGCTTAGTCGTTTCCCTTTTCGCATCCGACATCATCAACCATGCCCAGTCCATTTCGGCCCTTCCTTCATCTGTAGCCAAACGCCTAAACGGACAAGCCCATCACCCAATCGTTGCAACAACAGCTGGGGCGGTGGGGGCGGTTGAAAAGTCGAACCCAACACACCCAGAACTAAACAAGAAAAAGGGGAAACCGCTGTCTTGGGAAGGACTGCGGGGGCGAGGAGGGATCATGTGCGAGAGATAGCAAACGTACGCACATATGCAAGCAAAGCAAGCAAGCCGCATTAGTAAAGAAGCAAATAGCACAGGAGATTGAATGTCAAATGAACAAAAATTCAACGCTCGTCTGTTCAGGTATAGTTTAAGATAAGTTAGTCTTTGAAACATTACTCATTCCTCAATCTTCAAGCCCGCCCCTTGCTGCCCTGGCCCGGAAATCCGGGCTTTGGCTCCATTACTACCACTCCTATTCCTACACCTGCTAATACTCTCCATCAGGCGTTGATTTCCCGCCATGACCTCGACAAGCCAGTCGGCCGAGAGGTTGAGCATGACGGCCTTGCTGTAGCCCCCAGACTTGAGCGCGGGGACGATGGCGCCAAGGTCGTTGAAGTGGTCCTTGATGAGGTCTCTCCTCTTTTGCTCGCTCCGGATGTGGTTCTCGCGCTTCTGCTCGTCGGTCAGGTTCGCTCTAGGCTGTTTCGCCCCTCCGGACCCCGACGACGCCGATACCGACGTTTTGCTTCCGTTCACCCCGGATGCTGATGACTTGCGCCGCTTGCTATCCGTTTCAACAACGGCGGCGGCGGAGGCGGTTGCTGCGCCTTCGGTTTCGGGACTCAGGGGCGCCGGCCCTGGCGGCTTGCGCCTTCTTGGTAATGGTGTTATTGTTGATGACGCTTTTACCGACCCTGCTGCTGCCGATGCTGGCCTTTTCGCGTCTTGAACTGGTGATGTTGGTGATTGGTCCGGGCCGGGTAGAGATGTGGATGAAACGTGTGGACTTGTCACGGCCATTTTAGTGCTTCTTCGCCGCTTCCGAGGCGGATCCGAGTCGCCACATTCGGGCTCGTCTGGAGTGAGTGGGTGGCTGAGCGGTTTTAGTCTGGCTGGGGACTCTAATGATGGTTGTTTGGTGGGTGGTGATGGAGGCGTTATAGAGACGGGACTGGGCACCCGCGTCGGCGCGCTGCTTGAGTTCCTCTGTAGGCACCCTAGTGTTGCTAACTGCTCTGCCGATATAGCTTCAGTAGTTTCCCTAGCTGACCGAGGCACAAAATTGACTCTGTTAAAGTTCGGGTCGGAACCGAACTGGACTTCTTCGAGGGGTGGTCGAAGAGAGTATGATTGACCGTGGAAAGGGTCATGAAACACAGTGGCTCGTAGTGAGTTAGAGCGGTGGTTACTGTTGGAAGGCAGCTGGCGGGCATTGTTGCCGGCGCTCCCGTATTCCTGGTGTTGGGCAGGCGCGGCCGAGGAACTAACATGTGAGGGCATCTCGGCGGCTGTGTTGAAGAGCATGTCCAGCAGCTGACCAGGACGGCTGGACAGGGCAGTGGCGGCAGCGATTACCTCGGGAGAGGGTTCCGCAAGTTCTGGGTTTGACTGCTCAGCAGTACTGCCCGCAGGCAGCGTGATGCTGTTTGGCGATCTGAGACCCCATGGCTGAAGCGACATGCTAGTCAGGTTCGGGTAGGCCGTGTCGATCAGTCCATCAGCCGCCGTTCCGTACGACACGTTATGGCCGACGACTTCTGGCGGAAGACACCAGTTCTCGGTATAGACGGCCGATAAGAAGCCATTGTCAGGCATCTCCGAATCGCCGATGCTGTTCCAGAAATTGGACAAAAGCATCTGATCATTGTTGTCCAAGAGTTCTCCTCCGGGAGGTTCTGGGGGGATGAGGGCGTCTTGGCTTTCTTCGAGGTCTTCCTGCCCGGATGGTTGGATGCCGTCTGTCAAATGTCAGGCGGGGAAGGCTTTGGAGACCGCGACCGGGGCACAAGGCATTGTCAGACTTACAGCCAAATGGCAAAGACCCATGGCCGCTTCCCCCATATCCAAGTTCCCTATACCCGCCTAGCGGACGCCTCGGATCCATGTGCTCTGCACTCTGAGCCAGGAGCATATCCGCCGGGACGAGGTCGCAGAGGGGTCGCAGCTTCCGAGACTCGGGTCGACAGCGAGGGCTGCCATGCAATTCAGCGCAGGATGGTTGAGGCGCTGATTTTCAAGGCTCTGTCGATCAAGTCGAGCATGGGGCGAAGAGGGAAACGACGGCTGGGCGCGCGACACGGCCGAGGAAGGGGGAAGAGCGAGCTGGGTATGTATGATCTCTGCACATAAAATCTCGCTATCTGGGAAAGGGAAGTAGTATCTCGCTGTCTCAAATGTCGTGGTTTACCGATGACCTGGTCTGTGTAGATTACTTTGGTGGCGTTGAATGTCTTGAAAGCATTGGGCGGGGACGGGAGTGGCACATGCAAATGGAAAACGTTCGCGGCAGGTTCCTTAATAGGGACGACAGGGAAGCAGCCCTTGCACCAGTTTCACAAGGGCAGTGATTGGGGCTAGCGTATGCGGGGAGCGCTCGTGAATTAATTGGTAACTATGGGGCTGGCGGGCGACAGGCTCACAACGGTGACCCGCTGTGCAGTGGAAAGCCGGATTGCATGGCTGCATTATTACCTGACATTGTGTATGTACTTCCCACCCATCACCTTTCGTGAACTGAACTCGAAATTGGGTCCATTTGCATGGAGATGGCCTCGCAAGTCCTTGGTAACTCGAGCTCGGAGCAGCCCAAACTCAAAAGCAGCCGTCGTTCTACAGGAGATTCCGGCTGGGCCGGAATAGGCAAGTCCAAACTTCTACGTAATTCAGGAACATGGAAATCCAGAACGGGTATTCACTCCGCTGCTACACGTTAGACTGAAACTGGTGATGCCCTAGGTACTCGACTTCCTGGTGCAAGTCATTAACATTGATCTGTGTGACGGGCAGTATCGGACCATGGAGCGCGAGCGAATTGGAAAGGCTTCATGCAGGATGCAAGATCCAGCGCAACAAAAAGGCCTTGGATCAGTTTGCTCGATTTTGTTGAATATGGCTGATAGCAATATCATGCGCATATCGTAGATAAGCGGCTTAGGGGAACATCACATGCTTCTCTCAATGCCAAGCATGCCAGAAGCTTGATGGGCAGAAAAGTGGGGCCGAAGCCATACCAAAAAGGGGTGCTAACGTGAGCGAAAGTCCAGTGTGCTCAGAAACGAAGCCTTGCTTCAATTGCTGATGCCACAGTGTGCGCAATAGAGGGCAGGATGATTTGAAGAGTTTCCGGTTTGTTTATTCGAGGATCCAGAACATAGGCAATTGTCACCCGTGCGGCAAAGGCTTGGGCTAACAAGGCTGAGGATCTGGAGCTTTGAGTGCAATGCGAAAGCGAGGGACCGGGACGCCATCGACCTCGCTCGGTATCCACAGGTCAAAATGAAGGAAATGTAAGCCATCGAATGTCTGTGTCAACTAACATTAACTCAGTGCCCAAGCGTAGACTGCCTAGACTGCTACTTACCCACAGATCTTATACCGGTAATCAAGGCAAGCTAGTGTAGCGTGGCGCCGACTATACAGTACCAACGTCCATGAACGACGGGCTCGGCGTTGCCGTGGCACTTGGACAGCGGCTGCATCAGCAGAGGACGTGAAATCCAGATTTAGCAGGAGCCCATTTCAAGTAGCACATGTCGGCGTCCCCCTGTCATTCCAGGTTACAGTAGCATGGCAGAATGCCAGAAAGGCCTCTCAGCAGAAGGCAGTCACAGGGCCGGAATTCAACTCTGCAAGTCAGGCAGATCTGATGATGTTCATCTAACTTACCGAACCATTTTCACCCAACAAATGGTTCCTGCTCTTGGGTTGGGCAGTAACTACCGTACGCAGGCAGTTATAACTGGACGCCCGTGTATGTATGTACTTATGTAGAAGGAGCCCCCCCTGCACAACGACGATGAATTTACCCCGCAAAACTCGGCTCCGTGCATATCCTTTCCTGCATGGACGATTCAAGTCTCGACATCCATGTATCCGTTCTGACTGCCTGGACTACACACGTCCCCCAATTTTAACGTTACTTCCTTCTCACCAGCGTGGTTTCCAAAACCCTGGCTCGTTGCTCGGCCGGGGCGCGGGTCGACCGGCTCAGGGCCCGGGCAGCTGGTCCGTGAGCTGGCAAGCGCAAGGTTCCAAGAACAGCAGATTCGCAGACAAAGCAACAGCGTCGCGTACCTGTGGCTCCGTACAGTAAAGAAAAGGACGAATCCAGGACTCGAACCGAGGTTAGCATCGGCTTCGACTGCGTCACTTGTACGCGTTTGTTGATGAAATTATTGCGCACATATCCGGCTTTGAACTGACAGGCGGAACCTTATTGCTCAAAAGCATTTTGGCGAGCTGCTGTGCTCCTGCATACGCCTGATGCTGGCTTCGGAGTCAGAAGACGAAGACAGGTTCGCACTGCGCAGGTTCCCAGGTTCGCAGGTTTGATCCAAGACTACTGCAGCAGCAGCATCTTTCTCACACGTTGCACGACGGCAGCATTCCCATGTCGTCGTCATCGCATCAGGCTCACCGACCTGATGGGTCTCGGGGACGCACAACAAGATGGGATGAAGGCATCCCCCCGATGCTCCGGCCGCTGGTGCGCGCCTATCTCCTTGGCTATGTGTCCAGCGTAGCACCAAGGCTGCTGACGTTGTTGCTTCAACACCTCACGCGGCGCAAGCTCAAGAGGCAGGCCCAGGAGCCAGCAACGACACCGGCTGGCGCACAGCCGCAGAAAAACGGCGAGCCGTTTCTGGAAGCACTGCAGCGCATCCTCCGAGGGGGGCTTGATTGGCAGCGCTTCCCCACATTTTGTGCCGTCCTTGTCGGCGGCAGCACGCTGCTCGAGGTGAGTTAGCGCTTGTCACACACCTCTTTTTTTTTTTTTTTTCTTTTTGCTCCGGCCCGCATGACGCACGTTAACCCAGTCGATCGAACTTGGGTTTCAGCGCCCGTTTAGTGTCGTGTTCAGCCAGCTAGCAAACAACCTCTCCGAGATCGCCCGGCGGAGGTATGCGGTCGCGAACCCCTTTTCCAGCCGCCGACATGATCCCGTAATGTTGACGATCGTCTCAGGCTCTCCCGCTGGTGCGCCTCGTTCACCGCCGCATGGTTGAGTCTCCGCTTGCTTCAGTCCAAGCAGACCCCGAGCTTCACCGACACGCTCCCCTCCGCCAATGGCACCCCGCCCAAAACCATCCACTATGCGGGACGGACCCTAGACCTGACTTTCTTCGCCGTGACCCGCGCGCTGGACGTGATTGGCGGCGAGCTCTGGCACAGACGCAGACTGCGCCGGCGACGACAAGTTCCGCAAAATCCCGGATGGAGCTCTCTGGAATCCGCCGTCTCCCGCCTTACTGACCCAGCCATATTCGCCCTCTCCAGCGGCTTGATCATGTGGACCTGGATCTATCTTCCCTCACGCCTGCCGCGAGCCTACAACAAGTGGATTGGCTCCGCCGCGGCGGTCGACGGCCGCCTGATCGAGGCTCTCCGGCTGTGCCGCACCGGGAAGCTGCGCTATGGCCTGGACACGGGCTGCGCCAACCTGCTAGGCTCTATGTGCGCCGACTACGGCTGGCCGGAGGAGTGGGGAAACCCGGCCAAGTCGGTGCCTTTCCCCTGCGAGATGGTGCACATGGGGTGCGGTCCGTCGTGCGAGTACCACGCCGTCTCGCGCTTCGCCCGCTCCTTCCGCTGGGCCATGGCCACGTACCTGCCGTTGAGTCTGCTGCTCGCGTTGGGACGGAGTTCCGACCACCGCCGCCTCCCAGCAGGCCTCCGCCGCGCGCTGCTCTCGGCCGCCCGCAGTTCCGCCTTCTTGGCGACCTTCATAGCCCTCTTCTACTACGGCGTCTGTCTCGCCCGCACGAGAGTGGGACCCAGCGTGCTGGGCAAGGACGCGGCCGCCCGCGAGAAGATTGATGGCGGCTATTGCATTGCCTGCGGCTGCCTGCTCTGCGGCTGGAGCATCCTCTTCGAGCACCCCGGCCGCAGGAAGGACTTGGCACTGTTTGTGGCGCCCAGGGCGCTGGCCACCCTCTTCCCCAGGCGCTATGCCCTGGACAAGCAGTGGCGTGAGACGCTGGTGTTTGCGGCCAGCACGGCCTTGGTGTTTACCTGTGTGCGCGAGAACAGGGCACGGGTGAGAGGTGTCTTCGGCAGCGTCCTAGGCAGCGTTTTGCAGGCGTAGTACGGATGGCAAGGAGCAAGGTCTAATGACTTAATGTGTATTGTGTTATTGTATGCTACTGTATTGTACGACGTTCTGCATGAGATGGATTATGGTATGGTGTAAAGCGGCCACTACGGGGATCGGGGACTCAGGGTTCGAATGTATACTTAGACCAACACTCCGCGAGTTGAGCTAGATGGTCTTCCCTGTGATACAGGTGTGGTTATCAAAACAGTAATGTAGTGTTAAGATTGTGAGACAATCAAAGCTGGCTATTATCTTGATGCGTTTCTTACCGTATGGAGCACAGCCAACTCGGAGAAAATAAGTGCCCATGTTAGTAAGTGCTGCGTCATCCCTCTCTAATAAGACACATGCCGACCTCCTGCGCCTTGTATCCCCCAATTTCCAACGGTGTTGGTATCATACACAAGTCGTCGCTCATCTCGAACCACTCAACAACACCTGCCAAATAGTTACAATTGAAAGGGAAAAGAAAATCGCCCTTAACCTACAGTTTCGCCGTTCTATGAGCATTCCCCAGCCCTTGGCTCAACCACACCCTCTCCCACCAGAAGCGACATGCCTCCTTTTCAAACTCGCTCAGCTCCTGCACCTGCGCGGGGATCCCCCGATTCTTGATCAGCTTGCCCGGCTCCCGCTCGTTATTCCCTTCCCCAAAGACCATGATACTGCCGCTGCCGCTACCGCTACCGTCAGCCACCCGTCTGTTCCGCCTATCAGCGGGACTCGCGCTCCAAGTCGGACCATCGTCGGAAAAGGGCGACAGAAAGACAGGCCATTCCACCGCCGCCGCCTTCTTGCTTCTCCCGTTCCCCTCCCCAGAAGCTGAATCCGAGTCAGAGTCAAAAGTGGAGGTCGGGTTGGGATTGGGATCCCCGACGGGACTGGCCACGAAGCGCGCCCACATGCCGTGCATGGCCTTGGCGACCTGTTCCAGCCCGGGCTTGCCGCGCAGCACGTTCATGTCGTAGACCACGGCGGGGACTTCGTCGACGTGGTTTGCCGTGCCCCACGTCGAGGTCGCGGCGTAGCGGTAGACGTAGACCCTATCCTTCTTGCTGCTGTTTTTGCTCATGAAGTGGGCCGTCTGCAGGACCGGGCAGATGTAGGCGTAGTGCGAGTACGCGGCGTCCAGGCGCGCCCATTGCCGCCCCATGCCGCGGGGCACGCTCTTGTAAGGGTTGTTGTCTGCGGGGGAAGTGAGAGGGTCCGGGTACAGGGCTTCGAGCCGGTCCAGGTCGGCTTCGGTCATGGAGGGGATGAGGGACTGGAAAAAGGAGCGGAAATCTGACGAGGTGTCGGCCTTGGGCGGGATGAACATTGTGCCCTCATTGGTGTTGTAGCCGGTTAGGATGGGGATGTGCAGGTGGGAGCCGTTGAGCCAGGAGGTGATGGGAAGAGTGGGGATTATGGGGTCGGGTTGGGTGTGGCTGGAGTTGGCGAGCGGGTTGGGGCCGTCGATGACGGGTTGGAACGGCCAGGTTACGTGCTCGACGTACTTGTCCCAGACGGCTTTGGAGGCGGTCACGATGGTCTCGAGCGGGAGTGTGCGCAGGTGAGAGAAGATCTGCGATTCAGGGATGCCGTCGGCGCCAGCGGCAATAAGGAATTCACGGAATTGGACCAGGTGACGAGGGTGGGTCGGGTAGAAGACGGCGCGAGCAGTGGTGGCGCCTGACTCGAGGATGGCTTTGTGGAAGGGCGCGGGAGATGAGGAGCGAGCGTAGTGCATTATGTGGTGGCCGACCTGGATGGGATTAGCTGAAATGCAACCTGAACGGATGACGGGATCAGAGTACACACCGAGTGTGCGCCTGCACTGAGCCCCATGATGGTCACGTTCCCCGGATCGCCACCAAACGCCTCGATGTTGTCGCGTACCCACTCGAGGAGCAGCTGTTGGTCCCGCAGGCCCAGATTCAACAAGCCCTCCCGAGCCGTTACAGCCGAAGGCAGAAAGCCCAGAGCGCCAACCCGGTAGTTGAAGTTGACGGCCACAATGGGCGCCTCAGCCCAAGCGACGAAGCTCGCCATGTTTCGCTCGATTCCACGGCCCACATTGAAGCCCCCGCCGTGGATATACACGACAACGGGCAGCCGCGCCTTTTGCGTGCCGTTGCCCTCTTTCGCATAGCCTTCCCTGTTGACAAGGCCGGCAGGCCGGTAGACATTCAGATTCAGACAGTCCTCGCCCACGCCCTTGCCAAGCACACCGTCACTTGGACAAACCGGACCAAAGGCCAGTGCATCAAACGTCTCTGTGGATGGCGGAACCGGCTTTGGCGGGCGAAAGCGGTTCTCGCCTCCCGTGTCCTGGCCATAGGGCACGCCGCGGAAGGCCTCAACTGCCTTTGGATAGCGGGTGGATGCGAGCAACGTGGTGCCGACATAGGTGCCCTGGCGGATGGTGACGGTGGGTGCTGGCGCCGTGGGTTTCGCCATGGTCTCCAATGTCGTGGGCGTTGCTGTGTCGGTTGGCACGGTGATGTCCGTATCAATGGACCCCAGAGGCCCCAGATCTTCCGGCGCTGATGCTGAATCCGGCTGCGTCACACTTCCGCCGTAGCTGCCTTTGGCCAGGGGCAACAGCGAGGCACGCAGACTCTGGTAGTTGCCGTCCTGGTAGAGGTTGACGTACAGGCCGAACAGCAACAGTAATGCGAAGCCGGATGCGAGCACCAACCGACGCAGCGGCCTCGGCATTAATAGCCCTCCTAGGAGAGACATGGAAGTGGGTGAGGCTTGTGGGGGTGCCCTTTGGGACCCTGTCCACTCTTCTTCATCAAGCACGCGATTGCCCGCTGCGTGTCTCGGGACCGCGAGAGGGTCCGCCGAGGGTCCGCGGTCCACTGCAGTGAGGTGCGGAGAGATGCTTGGCGCCGTTGAAGGCTTGTCGGCTATAATCTGCCGCATGCTAGTGCCATATTAACGTTGGGTAGAAAACGGCAATGTTGCGGTGGAAAGAGGCCTGCGCAAGGCTAACGGTTTCCGCACACTCGCAGCGTGGGATTTTAACCTGGAATGCGGTTCTGTAGCGGTACGGAGGTAGTTACGGAGTAGCTCCGTAGTGGGGAAACAATTGAGAGACTGCCCAGGAAAAGCGAAGGAAATGCGGCTATAAAAGCATTTCGCTCCTTTACTTCCAGTGACCCTTTACCCTTATATTCTACCGGCAGCACCACATTGGTCTAGGGAATTACGTGTACTTGTTCCATCGGCGGCACAGCAGCAATCCTGTGATGCCTACGAACTTCGATCCCTAATACTAAGGTATGTATGTATGTACATGTACATATGGATTGAATAGTAGTGTAACTTACAAGCTCTCCCTGTATTGTTCGAATGTGAAAGTTTACAACAGGGGCATCGGTGTTAAATGGGAAAAAGATACAAACGCGACCTCAAACCAGTTGTTAAACTCAACTTAAAGTAAGTAGTGCTAGGACATTTAGGGACACCCAGAAGGCCGTTTTCTTCTCGACTACAAAGCTAGGTAAGTTCTCGAGAATCAGATAGTTTAATGTTGAGATGCAAGCAAGGGGTGAATGGAATTAATCATGTATCGTACTGTACTGTACAGTACTGTATGTATAGCACGATACAGGTATTGTACAATACATACAATACGTACCTTATATATCTCCTTCCCTGGGTCATGGAGATTGTGGTTTTTCTGTGCTAATCACAACTGAGCTCATGGAAGCCTCACCCAAATGATCACTCACACCTTAGTCGCTGCCGTTGCTTGCTCTCTGCAACCTCCCGATGGAGCACCGGCTGAGACGGATCATCTATGCTGACTCTGTTTGTATCATGTCGATTGATTGACTCTCGTTGGTCGATGACTGCTGTTTGTCTGCGCATGAATTCATATAGAGAAGCAAAGCGCTGTAGCAGGCCTTCACTGCATAGACCATTGCATTGGTCTTTGAGCTAATTGACCTTCTTACTGCCCTTTCCTCCCACTTTTATCTTTTGTCCTTGCTCTCCTCCATAATGGCCACCATCGTGGCCATTCTCCCGGTGGCCGAACCCGTCTCTTCCGTGACTTGACCGCATCCAACGCCCTCAACCATGTCTCTCGGCGACATCGACGACCAGACGCTGGCGGTCGTCGTTCAGCTGCAGCTGGAAGACCTCCAAGCCATCCAAGAAGCCGTCCGCGCCGGAAAACGAAAGGGGAAGCAACGACTCGGAGAGGTAGACGATGCCGAGCTTGTGCTCGAAATGTACCACGCTGAACTCTTGTCCGCGGCAAGGAGTCTGTCGGACCGCGCAATGTGCCAAAGAATACTCCGTGCCGTGGGATCAGATGCCGAGCTAATAGGCACTTCGCTGCGTGAGGAGGACCAGGCGGTACGCGACGAGGACATAGCCTTGAGCATAAGCGCTCAAGGAGGTACTCGGGACGATGGGAATGACCATGTGGATTCTCAGACGTCGTGGGCGGACAGTGAGCTGGCCGAGCAGTTAGAGACTCTTCATCTCCCCTCGATGGGTGACTGTGAGGACCCGACCGGCCAAGTGGAGAGCTCAAAGTGGGCGGCGAGCAGGTGACCACCAGCTTCCGCTAATGAGCCACTGGGCCCGACGAGAGACTGTGTCGCATGTGGCGAGAAACATCACGACACCGACGTCGCTGCCTGCCCGTGCTCCCACGATTACTGTCGCGACTGTCTTAACAGTCTCTTCAAGGCATCCCTTACCGATGAGGGCCTATTCCCTCCAAAGTGTTGTGGCCAGGAGATCTCTCTCGAGATCTATCGCACCCTGGTCCATGACAAAGGGGTCGCGGAGCAATTCCAGGAAAAGAAGGTTGAGTTTGGAACAGTGAACCGAACATACTGCCACCAGGCAACATGTTCGGCGTTTGTTCCGCCCACGTCTATACACAAAGATGTCGCAACTTGCCAGCGTTGTCTCAATCAAACGTGCGCCATATGCAAAGCGCCCGCGCACGAAGGGTCCGACTGTCCTCAAGACCCTTCGCTTCAGGAGACACTGCGCCTTGCAGCCGAGCAGGGCTGGCAGCGGTGCAGCTCGTGCAAACGACTCGTTGAACTTGACCACGGGTGCAACCACATCAGTGAGTCGGCCCAACGTACCCAGACTGAAAGCAAGCATCCACCCCCTGCTGTCGTTTCTAACCGTTTGCTACTTCACAGCCTGTCACTGCGGGTTCCAGTTCTGCTATGTCTGCGGAGAACGGTGGAAAACCTGCAGATGCCCCCAGTGGGACGAAGGCCGCCTCTACCGCCGCGCCAACAACCTCGTTGACCGAGATGCAGCCGGTCGACGGCTAGGCGTCCAGCGGAGGGCAGATCTAGTCGAGAGGGCAGTACATGAATTGCGAGCTAACCATGAGTGCCGACATCAGGAGTGGAGGTACCGCGCAGGCCGATTTCGTTGTGAGGAGTGCCGTGATTTTCTACCGACTTACATATTTGAATGCGAGCAATGTCGGATCTTGGCTTGCAGGAGGTGCCGCTACAATCGTCTATCATTCCTCTGAGGTCACCGTCATGTCTTTACGGCATCCGTTCGTCGGCTTAAAGGGCTGAGAGATATCACCTCACACCGCGCACAAGAGTCTTGCCCTGAGGTAGCCGGTAGCCGGTGACATCTAGAGCTTACATAGTTAATCAGAATGCAAGTTCAAAAACGGCGGTCCAGGTGAGCTGGCGTAGACGATCCAGGAACTTTTCGGCCTTAGCTCGTCTCTCACACCTCGTCAGCCCTGCTGCAGCATCGAGAGCAGCGTTAGCTAAGATACCTCAATTCTGAAAAGTCTCAACTTGTCACAAAACAAACCTAGCAGGTAATAGCCATATTCTCGACTCCAAACCAGGCAGGGTATCAATACTCTGAAAACTCCTGCCAGCCAACCCCAATAAAGAACGGCATCCGTAAACACCTTGGCCGTTGTGCCCTCCTGGAATGCAGCAACCGCCTTCTTCCACTCACATAGCAATGCGCAGACAAACCAAATACACCGCCAACCCTAGAACAAACTCCCAGAACGCGACCCGCAATGCAATACGCTCGACAAACGAGACTCCACCACTGCCTCGCACATCACCGGAACCATACAACCGGATACTCGCAACTCACGCAGCCAAAGCAACAGCCGGCTTTTCCCGCGCCCGCTCCCTCTCCTTTCTAGCCCTCTGCTTCTCGGCCCACTCGCGGCTTAGCTGCCTCGACCTCTCCGCCGCCTCCTGTCTGGCCAGCTTCGCTGCCTCCTCCCTATCACGGCGCTCCCGCTCCCGTTCTGCGGTGTAAGAGTTATCTTTGGCAAAAATTTCCTTGCCTTTGAGCTTCTGCTGCTGCACGTCCTCGGCGCTGACCGTACTGCGCTTGCTGCTGCTCACACTTTCGCTACCGCCGCCGTTGATGCTATTCGTCGACGTCGACGTCCCGCGACTGCTGGCCTGCTTCTGAGGCTGATTATCGCGGCCGCGCTCGCGGGCTGGCTGAGTCGATGATGATGCTGCCTTGGAGGACAACGACGAGGCGCTGGGGACCATAGATTGCCGCTTCTTGGCTGCAGGAGTCGGGGTGGTGGTGCTGGTAGAGTCGCACGAGCCGCCCGCCATCCGCTGTTGCCTGGCCAAACTCGCCAGTGTCTCGCGTGGCGCTGAGCTCGGTGCGAGGTTGGCCCGGATGGGTCTTGCCTTGAACTCGCGCCGCTTGCGCTCTTCCTCCTCTTGGGCGCGCAGCTTCGCCTCGTGTGCCTCCCGCTTCCGCCGAGATATGGCCTCACCAGGCAGCTCAAAGGTGGGCCGAGTCGGGGGTTTGGCGGACTTTACGTGCGGCTTTGAAGGTGAGTAGGTAGCCGCCACGGTGGCAGCTTGCTCGGGCGAGATGTGCTGCGACCGGCGGGCTTCGCGCTGCTCCTTCAGTCGACGAGCCACAGCTTCACCAGGGAGCTCAAATGTGGGTACGGTGGGAGGCTTGCTAGACCTTGCTGGCGGTTTCGGCGGGAGAAGGCTTGCGGGTCTCGGGACCTTGCGCGCACTCGTTTCACCGATGCCTGTGTCCGCCAACTTATCCTCCTCGCTTGCAGATGTAGATGTTGGCTTGCGAACAGACGAGCTGCGTGCAACTGCCTTGCCCTTAACCGTGTTGGCACCTTCCTTAACCGAGGTCGCTCGCTTCAGAGGCGTCGAGCTTGTCGCCCTTACAGTGGTGTCCTGTGCAGTAGACTTAGGGGTCTTGGGAGGTGCCACTCGGCCGAGTTGAGCCACCTCATGGATGGCTTCTAGCTGCTCTTCCAGCTTATCCAATTCTTCGACCGAATCCTCGATCCGGGACAGCGGCCTAGCTGGCTGGGGAGCAAGGAGACGGTCAACAGTGCCATCAACCTCGGCATCCAGTGCGGGTTGCAAAGGGCTTGCAACCTCGATTCCTCCTGCGGCGGCCATGGCGAACTCTTCCTCAACGCCAGTTGCTAACAGCGTATACACGTTAGCCGGATTCTTGTCCTTACCGAGCGAGGTGCCGGACTGCGTCTTGCAGTGGACAAGATTGCATCCGAAGTACAACTTCTTACTACCCTGGCGCAGTTCTGAGCCGCCCTCAAAGTCGACCTCAGACCTGCCCTGTTTGCCGGACGCCTTTACTGGGACTGAAAGTAGCCACTCGAACTGACCTTCCTGGTGCTTTGACAGTTGCTCCTGGGCACCAGGAAGCTGCAGGCTGGCCAAGGCAAGGCAATTATTGCTCTCAAAGTCTACGAGCTAATGTTAGAGCACATGCGCAGGCGATTTCAGTCAGTCGGACGTCTTACCTGATCTTGCGCTTTGCGTAATAGCGTTTGCGCCAGCGCCAGAGGATTTGTTAGAGTGGTCTGCAAGCGGTTGCCTGCCGCTGGGGGTTGTGGGCAGGACTTGACAACCGGGTTCGGCCGACGGGTGAAACTTAGATTTGCGTCCTGGGCAGTTGTTGACACGGCCCTGGCGTGTGTTTTCCTTGATAGCCGAGCCTTCGAGATGAAAACTATCCAGGTGTTGTTGAGTCAAGGAGGCAATGGCAGGCTTGATATTCTGGGTGGTGCTTGCGACTGGGAGAGGTTGGCCACCGTCCTGTCGGGAGCGCACAATGGACGCCATGGCCTTAAATATCCGAAATAAGCCAAGCCCTGCCTCGACGAGGGTCACGGACTCACGATGGCACCGGGAGTGCGGGAGAGACCAGGGGGCTCTTAATGCAATTTCGCGGATAATAAAAGCGCGATTGGTCGACGCCGAGAATGAGGGAGGGGTGTTTTGATCCTTAGACCCTCAGCAGGTCCTTCCCTGGAATATCCTTATCAACGAAAAGAAGTCGGAAAAATTCAACAATGCTTGCTAGCAATTGGATGCCAGCTCTGAGATGTTGCGAAGCAAAGCTGGCATATGTGATGTGTTGTGAGGCAGAAAGCAAAAGATGATGTGGTCGAAAACCTTTGAAGCGCGAAGGCATTGTTTACGTTTCCAGATGCACGACGAGAAGGCATCATCCGGGGTTTCCAGGTGCGATTTCCATCGATTTCCATTGCAGCCATACCCGTATAAATTGGCAAAACTTGCTTTGCCGATGCCTTGTTCAATGCCCCGTGCCTGCCCAATCTGGCTTGTCAACAGCGGCACCGCTTCATATGCATCTTCAGGTGCAACCACAAGAAACCGATCGCGCTTACCGCAGCCAAGAAGGTACAGGACCGGTAACGTATAGAATATGATGACTAATGAACGCGACAATGACGCGTCTCGCTTGCAACCACATGCAGTACCGTTCCTACCCCGCCTTCCTTGGGAGGAGGCTACCGGTACCGTGCCGGGCGTGCCTCGGGCACGGGGCAGCTACCTTTTTGGGACGAAAGCTCTGCTGTGTGTAAGAAGTCCCAAACGTGTAACAGCAGATTCGAAAAGGTTGATCAAAGCTCACGGCCACCAGCACGTCATCCTGACTCTTGTTCGACTGCCCCTTCTGCATGTGCTTGAAGTGCCGGGGCGTGTTCAGTTGGGATCCGGACGAGAGTCTGAGGAAGCGGCACTCCTTCTGCATCCTCCATGGGCCCCTCAACGTTGGGCTTAGGAAGTTTCGCTGCAGCAGGTTTTAGCTACAATCTTCCGGTAAACCTGGGGGTAGAGGAAGCCATACCGGACGCCATGTTGATTGCTCTCAGCACATTATGCCAATTGCTCAAAACAAGGGCGATAGCTGGTTAGAAAAGCCTTAGCAAATGGAAGCGTCGCAGTGGGAATGGCAGCCGCAGTTTGACACACCTTCGGTCCCTTCGGAAAGAGTGGCTAGCTTCTGCTCAAGAGCCTCCATTTGAGAGGCGACTGCTGCGCTGAGGTCACGAAGTTCCTTGAGACTCTCAAGCTCAGCCTTCTTTTCATTTACCCTAGCAACCAAAGCGGGAGACTGCCCAGCGTTGGCCGAGAGAGAGGGCTGTCGTATGTGGGACGAGAGGGACCTTGACGGCAAGGCAGACATTCTTAGTAGATACCTATAAACTATTCTGAACTGGTCTTGGTATAGTGGTAGAGCGAAGCCAGGAGCTTGGGAGTCTAGCATGTGAGCCAAGTGCAATCAGATCTGAATTAGAGGCTTATAAAAGTCATAGGTACGGATGGATATACCTGTGGTGTTGCACTCTCCTGTGTGCACCTTTTGCTGCTTGGGAGTTGTGAGTTGTGACACTCCACCCCGGACCGGTGGGGCAAGATCTCTGGCAGCTGGGCCACTTCGGAGACTGTTGCATGGCCGACACGAAATGGCAAGGGTAGAGACGCTAGTCCAGTTTAGGAATTGAAGTAAACATTGTCGACGAAATTATCCACACAGAGCCTGCATCACCACCATTACAATTTGTTCCGCACCCAAAGAAGAGCCTGACTTCTGCAGCGCTTTGTAGTACAGCTCGTCGTCACCACGTCCAATAACGGTATCTGCGATTTCGCGCTCTCTTTTATTTTCAACAATCACCACGGAGCGCTTCTCCCGCGATCATGAGCAATGGCGAGACTGAACGAGCCACCTGCGCCTGTAGAAAGTCACCTCGACATACGTACGTTCGGCTCTTTTATGCCTCACTACTAGTTCTGCGTGTCGCTAAAATCATCTCTTTCAGTCCGGAGGAAGTTTCTGCGCCAGAATCGAGACATTGCGAAAATCAACTCAGATCAGTCGCAGAAAATCCGACGCCTCGAGAATGATTGCGCTCGTCTGCTCTCCGAAAATCTCGAACTCCGAGCCCAAGTACTGCGATTAGAGAAGGAAGTCGAGAATAACAGCGCACGGAGGATAGCTGACCATGCCCTCGAAATCAAGGCCAAGCTCGAGGCACAGCTGTCCGAATTCGGGTCGCTGCTCAGCAGCTTGGGCATGGAGCCGCCTTCCAAGAGACATTTATCCGAGGGTCGAAGAATTGCGAAGCCTCGCCACAGTATGACCAGGAGCCCACCGCAAAGGAAACGGCGCGAGACGCCGGCGGATGCAGAGGCTCTTGCTGAGCAGGAGGGGAGGTTACCCCCTATCTACGAGAACAAGAGCTACCCGCGGGTGACCATGAATAGCGAGGAAATCCTGGCATTGTGTGCCGCCGCCGCCGATACCACCGACTCCCCTGAGTTAGGGCCACCGCCGGTTTCTCGCTTTGTCGAGGAAGAGCACAATAAGCACAATTCGCCTACAAGGATATCCGGGATGGATATGCCCGAAAGTCCAAATCAATCGCCCTCTCCCAAACGCGGTAATGACGGGGTAGCTTCTAGCAGTCCGGAACGAAGTAAAGAATTGGACCATTCTATGCTCACTGACGCCAACCAGGAAGTTAAAGCAGCTTCCCCAAGGCAACCAATGCCGAAACCGACACCGCAGGCAACAAAGGCAGGCACCAAGAGGAAGTTCGGGGATGAGACTGAGCGTACTGAGATGGCGGGGACAGGGCTTGGAAAGGAGAACACCATTAACGCTGGGAACGAAAAGGCTGCCACTGGCCGTGGGAACCAAAAGAGGAGGAGCATCAAAGAAATACCGGCCAATAGACGGGAAAAGGCCGGAGGCGCGAGAACTCCGCTCGGCATCAAAAGCACCAACGAGGACATGTCCTCGCCGCGGAAGGGCACGAAGGGCTTTGCAATGATGGAGGGTAAGAAGGAACAGTCAGAGTCAAAGGATTATGTGGCGAAGGAGACAAGCCATCCAGAGAAACCCCTGCCAAAAATTGAAATACCGCCACCAGAGCCGCCAGCGGTCATCACCGTGATGCTCGAACAAGAGACCGTTCTCCCGTCCGCGACGCCGAGCTCTCCAACTACCCCAGATCGCCTTGCAAGGAAAGACATGCAACACGATACGCCCCCACCGGCAGACATATCCTCTAACGGCGAGACTTCGCGTCCCAGCCGCCGTGCGAGGCCGGCGATTAGCTATGCGGAACCAAACCTGCGGGACAAGATGCGGCGACCAACCAAGGAGCTATTCGATGCAGTTTCTGGAGAGGGCAAGTTTGTTCATCGCTTGGCGGCACCCACAAAGCCAGATGAACAAAACCCGGGCTCGGTAAGGAAAGCCAACTCAGAAGCCGGAAGTTCGATCAGCAGCAGCAAGAAACCATTACCGGCAGGGGAAACAGCGTCCAGGGCACAAGTCTTGAGCCCCCTAGGGCAGAAGGATGACTTGCCGGATTCCTTACCCAGCACAGTCGTCACAGAGAGACGGAAGCGACCATCGGCTGTAGGCGTCGCCGGCAGCCGTGAGTCTATTAACTTATCAGATGGGCCGGACAGCGCACGCGCTGAAACCTTATCATCATTGACCATTACTGCCCATAACCCGGAAGCAACAGTTTCCGGAGCAACGGGGAGCAGCAGTAAACGTGCTCGCGGTGCCACGACCCCAGCCACCGAATCGCAGCACCCTTCAGCAGTCGTGGCCGCAGCTGTGCAATCGGTTCCGGACATATACGACTTTGCCAGCTCATCTTTCGCCTCCGACAACGCCACCGGCACCATTGCGGACTCTCCCGATGCATACAAACCGGCCACCACAGCCCACAGCAGCGGCAGCAACACTACTACTTCAAGATCCAGAACGGCAAGGAAATCGTCCATGGCTGCGGCTGCTGCGATGAGAGAGATGCTAGACGATCAGGAGCTGGACGAAGGCGAGGGTTGTCCCGCGCTCAAGCCACGGTCCTCGTCCTCTTCGAGCGCGCGCAAGAGGGCGTCTATGCTGGCTCCGAAGAAGACGGCTTTGATGGAAGCTGTGGGGGAGGCACAAGAAGATGAGGGTAGCACGAGGGATAAAATCTCAAGGAGGAGGAGTATGATGTTATGATATTCCCTCATTACTTTGGTTTTTGACTCGTTGACGATGCGGGTTTTGTGTTGCATGGAGGCATGGCACAGCGTCTGGCGTTCTTTTGGTTTGTTGGGATAGGATTGGGTCGTGTATTGTGTGCAGAAGAGGGACGGGATAGGCATCATAACTGTTTTCTCCACGATCGCTTTCTCCACGTTGAGATTGAGTGGTTTACAGTCGTACCTTATACACTGTGCCAGATTGTCATGCTTTATACCCTTGAAGTCGTCTGGGTTGAAGTCCTCAGGTACACACTTGAGTGGGCAGGAGGTATCAGGCGCCAATACAAACCCGCGCGGCAGTGTGCAACTGCGAATGCTCTATCGGTAGCTTGGACCGATTGCAGAAGTCTCAGAGCTGGGAGCTGTGTCAATGTCTCGGTTTGTCGAGAGCTGTTAAGAGGGGTCGTAGAGAGTGCATTCTTTACATACAAATATTTGGTTGCACTAGCACAAACAAAACCGACCCCAGAGACGTCTGTTGCGGCTCCAGGACGGACTACGGAGGTGTATGAGGACGTCGTGAGCCGTGAGAAACCGCCTTGAAAATAGCTTAGGGTTTACCGGCAGAGAGCACCAAGTTTGATGATACCTCTCTGTGATCATAAGGTTAATAGCCAAGAGCACGGCTTGGATTGAATGCGGATATCGTAAGGTGTATATCAGTTGTTCTTCCATTGAAACGTCTAAGAGGGGAGAATCCTGACTTCGCTTCTCCATCCTCATTCCATAGCGGTATGCTGTACCGCGTCTTATGATGCGGGAGGCAGCGTCCAGTCATGAAATGCGCCTCCGGAGCAGTAAACAGCACTGCGATATCATGCCTGCAAGCAGCGAATCGCTAGGGCTGCTGTGGCTATTATACCCACAGAAGCTTCTCTCTTCACGTTCCTCCAGCTCCTCATTAGAGGCAAGCTTGGTGCCTTCGAAACTCATACTGTACGCCTTGTCAAGTGCTCGTGATGTAACTTTCGGGTGCCGTTATCCCGAAAACTCTCATGCCATGACCTGCTTGTTGTAAATGAATGCGCCTCCTCGTTGACACATCCACAATGTCATGACCCTGTTGTTGGCTCGACCGGCTTGGTATATGTTACCTTCTCCACCGCCACGTTCTCGGCACCGTCCTCGCCTTTTCTTAACTGATATACGTATAGTGTCAGGGAAATACCTTGTACCTACCCATACACATCCAATATTAGTAATTTCTGCCAACGGAGGAGTGAAAGGAGGAAATGCCGCTCACATCCATCAAGCAAAAGCTGGGCACAACCTCCTCACTCCCAGCCCAGTCGGTGGTGAAGGCGCCCGTCGCGCTGCCCGGGTTGATGAAGAACTTGTCCATGTACTCGAAACACTCAAATTTGTGGGTGCCGCCCCAGCAGAGCACGTCGACGTCGAGCTTGTTGGCCTCGGCGAGCAGGATGTCGGGCTCGTCGCTGACCAGTGTGAAGCCCTCGAGGAAGCCGATGCGCAGGCCGGCGCCGTGCGTCACCACCTGCGTCAGCGGCAGCGATGTCGCCTCCACGTCCATCCGGCCCTTGACCATCTTGAGGTCCGGCGTTATGCTACGCAGGTACTCGTAGGTCGATCGGTCCGTCAGATTGCCTAGGCAGAGCGTCTGGGCGATCTTGCCGGGCGTGAGGAGCTTCTTGAACTGGAGGTTGGGGAAAAAGGGGACACGGTAAGCGGACTGTCTGGAGGCGTGCCGAGAGTGGATTTCGAGAGACACGTACCTTGGCGGGAATGTCGAGCGCTCGGTCAGGTATGTGGAGGTCGCCAATTACTAGGATTAAGAAGGCCATTGTGGGAGCTGGCTGTTGCCGAGGACTACAAGTGATTGTGTGAGAACGAGAAAGTGGCTGTCGATAACAGTGCGGCGGGTTCCCGAGGCCAATTCGGCAGGGCGCTGAGTCCTAAGTGAAGCGACGTGGGTATCGCCGGTAGTGCAATGTCGGGGTGCCGTGGTGAATGCTACGGCTTGTCTAAGCAGTTGAGCGTTGTTGTACTTCGTAGCTGCAACGTGATGCTGCGACAGATTGCGGGGATTGGAGCTCCAGTCTACGTAGTTTAGGGTTAGGGTCACTTAAACCCATCCGTATCCGTACAGTAATTACCGTCCCCGTAAAGTTGGTGTAAGTTACCTGTATCTTGGCTCACTTAGGTAGTCCAACGAAGCATGCAGAGCATGTCTTGCAGCAGCTATGTACCAATGCATTAGCATGCAGTCGCAGAAGAGGTATCCAGTCCGCCGCCAGTACACATTCGAAAGGGGAAGGGATGGGGTGAACAATTTGTCAATGTTCCTTTTTGGGGATCTCGAAATCATCACCCCGAGAGAACCCCGAGCATCGACCAGAGTAGTGGGGCTGGCGTGAGAAGATGTCGCTAACGAAAAAAAGCATTGCAGCTGATACTGGGGTCTTCCCATACCTGCCGACCCTTACTTCATTTCCATTATATTCATCACGTCCATTGATTACCCTTGTGAAATAGAGAGTGTGACTTACGGATGTAATTCAACAGAACTCAGGGTGCTTCCCGCAAGGGGCCGAGGGGACTAACCGCTGCGGAATGCGGGGTGGGAGCTCCACGATCTTGGCAGGGGGCCGCTCCGAAGACCGGTAATCACTCTGTCCACGGAACCCGGCGGCATTGCCGCAAATTTTCGGTGCAATAGACTTGTCGTACGTTTGGGAGGGGGATTCTAGTCACTACCTAGATATGGACCTAGGCTTGCGGGAGAAGTCATCGGTCGGGCTCTTTTCATTCATAACTAATCCATTCCTCCTTTCTGCTCCGTCCTGCAATTCCGCGCAGCACAAACACAGGTAGCTCCTCTAGGGTTCCTACCTATAAAAGGACCGTTTTTTCGACGAAGACTCGACGTCACTACTAAGCTCCGTCATATTGCGTCAAGGGTCTGCAAGACCGGAAACGAGGTGGGGAGGCAGATGCTCGTATGGTACCCGAAGGAGCAAAGTTAGGTTCGGTCTTCAGACGGCTTTTAAGACCTTCGATGCCCCGCCCAAAGGTGCCGGATCACCCCGCCCGGCTTTCGTTGATCTCAAGGCATCTGGCCCCGGTGTACCCGATCAATACTCCGTTCACCGTCGAACGCCTTCCCGACACCATTGACCCCCCGTTACTTCCCAAAACTCAGGCGCGCAGTGTCTCAATACCGCCCAAGATGGCCCAACCCCCGCACCCGACGCTCCTGATCCCGGGCCCGATCGAGTTTGACGATGCCGTTTTACAGTCTATGAGTCACTTCAGGTATGTTCATGCGTGTTGTACTTGTTCGAACGCCTATTCCAAACGTTTTTCAACAGCTGATGGGTCAATGACAGCGAGAGTCATGTCGGTGCCGGTTTCGTCGCAACCTTTGGTGAGACGCTGTCGATGCTGCGCAAGCTTTTTCAGACCTCGGACCCTGCTTCGCAACCGTTTGTGCTCTCCGGTTCCGGCACATTGGGCTGGGATCTCGTGGCCGCCAACCTAGTCGAGCCCGGCGAGGATGTTCTAGTGCTCGGCACAGGCTACTTCAGCGACGGCTTTGCCGACTGCTTGCGCGTTTACGGGGCCAACGTGACGGAGCTCAAAGCACCCGTGGGTACCAAACCCCAATTGCACGAGATCGAGAAGGCGCTGTCCGAGAAGCGGTACAAGGCCATTACCGTGACACACGTCGACACGTCGACCGGCGTCCTGAGCGAGCTGCAGCAGCTGTCGGCTCTCGTCCATAAGGTCTCCCCCGACACCCTCATCATCGTTGACGGTGTCTGCAGTGTTGCATGCGAGGAGATCGACTTTGACGCATGGGGCCTGGATGGCGTAGTCACGGCCAGTCAGAAGGCCATTGGCTGCCCCGCTGGGCTGTCCATCTCCATGTTCAGCGGCCGCGCCATGAAGGCTCTCCAGAACCGGAAGACGCCTCCGGCGGCGTACTTTGCCTCTATGAAGAACTGGGCCCCCAGTAAGTCTCTCGAATGAATCCGAGCAGCCCGGTGCTAACGACGTTTTCAGTCATGCAGAACTACGAAAACAAGAAGCCGTCGTACTTTGCTACTCCTTCGCCCCAGCTTATCCACGCCCTGCACACAGCATTGAGCCAGATCCTAGCCAAGCCGGTCTCGGAGAGATTCGCGGCCCATAAGGCAGCGTCGGACAGAATCAAGCAGGCCATCTCCGACCTTGGCCTGAAGCAGGTTGCGGCGAATCCGGATGAGCAGGCTCACGGTATGACGGCCATCTATCTCCCGGAGTCGGTCAAGGGCGCCGACCTCCTGCCCATTCTTGCCAAGAAGGGAGTGGTATTCGCCGGCGGAATTCACAAGGAGATCGCCGGCAAGTACATCCGGTTTGGCCACATGGGTGTTAGCGTGGTGAGTATTATCTTGTTCCGAGTGTCAGCAAAGCTTCATCAACTCACATGTCTGCAGCTGGATCCTAACAGGAACGATATCGACCACGCCATCAAGGCATTAAAGGAGGGCTTGGCTGAGTGCGGATATCAGAGAGCTTAGCAGAAAGAGGCAATATAGACATAAAATCTACACGTACAACATAAAGGAGATAGATCTTTTTGCATATTAGACTCGAAGAGATGTGCATATGTGAAGACATGAGTAATACGTCCGTATATGCTCGTCACTAATGACAAATTTCTCTACCTGGCTTCGTTCTCGGTTCGCTACCTCTCTCCTTCTGTATAACTTACGATAGGTATTATATGTCTCATCCATATATGGGGTTGAATCCTGACGTAGAACAGAGAATCGGTCGAAGAGCATTGGAATCAACATGAAGGTCTGAAGGGAGACCCAAAGCTGCAGAAACTTGAGGACTCGAAATCGCTGTGAGGATATTACTAATTGATGTACGGAGTAGGCTTCCAGAAGTTCCAGTCGAGGCATGTCCAATTGTTGCTTTCCATCCATTAGGTCATGCGGTTGTCGGATAAAGACAGAACCAAACAGCTGTCAGCCACTTGGCAGAAGTTCCTCAAGTCAAGGCTTGGCATAGACCTGACAAGGCCCTGTAGCTCCATGGTTTAGATCACTCCTTCGCGCAGCGCAGCGGGGTTGCAGAACAACGGTGGGGTTCGGCCTTGGGAAGCTTTCAACCCGATCCTCAATCTCTTTCCATAACTTCCGTCATCCCACTCTCAAATCTCTCTTTCCGACAGGCCTTGACCGCCCTATCGTACCTGCGAACCATTCCAGCTCCCGAATTATTTGCAGGAGAACGCTATCGTCCTGCGTTCTTCCTCACTCTAGCAGCGAAACAAACCCTCTCGTTGCGCATTTACCTTCCCTTTCTTTAGGCTTCGCTGGGGAATAATTGATCGACGCTCGACGGCGCGCGACCATGCCTGTCTCCATCGAGGAGTTGGACGCCACTGTCCGGGCCTTCTATGAGGGTCGCGGCGAGCAGGTAGATGCCGGCTGCTTGTTTCCTCTGGCGAAATCTCGTGGTGCTAACGACTGGCCTCTCTGAAAACAGCAAAAAGCTGCCCAAGCCGCTCTGAACCAGGCACGTCCGCCCCCATCGCAGCTACGCCATCTCACATGTTCGTCATACCAAAAGCTGACTGTGATATAGTTCAAAGAAGACCCTGATGCCTGGTTGATGGTCGACGAGATCCTCTCGAAGGCGACTTACGAGCAGACTAAATGTTCGTCCTCCTTCCGCCTAACCTAAGAGATGATACGATGGAGCGGTGCAAGGGTGCTGACAGAATTCCAGTCTTGGGTTTGCAGGTTCTCGATAACGTGATCATGACAAGGTGGAAGGTTCTGCCACGGGAACAGTGTCAAGGCAAGTACCTGCGTCTCCGGGTTGGTGCTGGCAGGTAGCTGACCAGCAGAAGGCATCCGTGACTTTGTGGTTCAGTATATCTTGCAGTGCTCAGCATCGGAAGAGGCGCTCAGGGCTCACCGCACCCTCCTCAACAAATTAAACCTCGTTCTGGTCTCGGTTCTCAAGCAGGAATGGCCCCACAACTGGCCGACGTTCATCAACGAGATTGTTACTGCCTGCCATTCGAGTCTATCGGTCTGTGAGAACAACATGACAATTCTGCGGCTTCTCTCCGAAGAAGTTTTCGACTACTCGGCCGAGCAGATGACATCAACAAAGACCCGCAACCTCAAGACGACTATGTGCAACGAGTTCTCCCAGATCTTCTATCTCTGCACCGATATCCTCAAAGGCGCAGAGCAGCCGAGCTTGATCAAGGCAACCCTGCAGACGCTCCTGCGCTTCTGTAACTGGATTCCTTTGGGCTACATCTTCGAGACACCGCTGATTGTGACCCTCCGGGAAAAATTCCTCGAGCAGCCCGAGTACCGTAACCTCACATTGCAGTGTTTGACCGAGATTGGCGGCTTGCAAACAGGGGGCCCAGGCCAGCTCAACACGTACGATGAACACTTGATCAAGATGTTCACCGAGGTTCTGACGTCCATTTCCAACATCATCCCCTTGGATATGGACCTCAAGGCCGTGTATCCGCAAAGCAATTCCCGTGATCAAGAGTTCATACAGAATTTGGCCCTTTTCCTGTGCAATTTCTTTGGGATGCATCTGCCCGTGAGTTCTTGAGCTTCCCGGCCCGTTCCTTGGTTTTCTTCCCCGGGCTGACACGGCTGCGCAGTTGATCGAGAACCTGCCCAATCGGGACTTCCTCACGCACGGTCACTACTACCTCATCCGAATTTCCCAGATTGACGACCGCGAGATCTTCAAGATTTGCCTTGATTACTGGCTGAAGCTTGTTCAGGAGCTCTATGAAGAGATGCAGTCAATACCGTTAACCGACATGACGGCCATGCCTTTAGGGGGCATGGGCGGCGGCGCGCCCAACCCGGCACTACTTACAAACTATCCTCTCCGAAAGCACAAATATAACGAAGTACTCTCAAACCTTCGTGTCGTCATGATCGAGAAGATGGTTCGTCCGGAAGAAGTCCTGATTGTGGAGAACGATGAAGGCGAAATTGTCCGCGAATTCGTCAAGGAGACAGACACGGTTCAGCTGTACAAGACGATCCGCGAATGCCTGGTCTATCTCACCCATCTAGACGTTGTCGATACTGAGCAAATCATGACCGACAAACTTGCCCGGCAGGTAGACGGGTCCGAATGGTCGTGGCACAACTGCAACGTGCTTTGCTGGGCCATCGGGTCGATTTCCCTGGCCATGAACGAAGAGACAGAGAAGCGCTTCCTCGTCACAGTAATCAAGGACTTGCTGGGACTTACAGAGATGAAACGGGGAAAGGACAACAAAGCCGTTGTCGCCAGTAACATCATGTACATTGTGGGCCAGTACCCACGCTTCCTCAAGGCACACTGGAAATTTCTGAAGACGGTTGTCAACAAACTCTTTGAATTCATGCACGAGTCTCACGAAGGTAAGTTGAGCCCATCAACCAGTAACTGGAGAGCACAGCCTTAACCCACATTAGGTGTCCAGGACATGGCATGCGATACGTTCATCAAGATTGCCAAGCAATGCAGGAGGCATTTTGTTGCGCTTCAGCCGAGCGAGAATGAGCCCTTTATTGAGGAGATCATCCGGAATCTCAGCAAGATCACTTGTGACCTGACCCCCCAACAGGTGCACACATTTTACGAGGCATGTGGCTACATGGTTGCTGCACAAGGGAACAGGAACCAGCAAGAGCGCCTCCTGGCCGATTTGATGGCCATCCCGAACGCGGCTTGGGACGAGATCATCAGATCGGCAACCGTGAACCCGTCTATCCTGCAAGACGCCGAAACGATCAAGGTCATTGGGAATATCATGAAGACCAATGTGTCTGCTTGCTCCTCCATTGGGACCTATTTCTTCCCTCAAATCGGCCGGCTATACAATGACATGCTCCAGATGTATGCTGCCACAAGCCAGCTCATCTCTGAGGCGGTTGCTCGCGAAGGTTAGTCCTACTCTGGAGCTGTTTTTCTATTAGTCTTGCCTGCTGACGTGCTATTTAGGCGAGGTTGCGACCAAGATGCCCAAGGTCCGCGGTTTGCGGACCATCAAGAAAGAGATATTGAAGCTGGTCGAGACGTTTGTTGACAAGGCGGAGGACCTGCAGGCTGTGCAGACCCAGATGGTGCCTCAGCTGCTAGACTCTGTCCTTGTTGACTACAACCGCAATGTCCCTGGGGCCCGCGATGCCGAGGTGTTGAAGTGCATGACAGCGATGATCACCAAGCTCTCGGTAAGCCCAGGCCAGCCGGTTCCGTGTCAGGTTCTGTTGAGCGCTAATCTTTGTATCTCTCTTGCCAGGGTTTGATGGAGGACCAAGTGCCGGTCATAATGGAAAACGTCTTCGAATGCACCTTGGACATGATCAACAAGGACTTTTCCGAGTTCCCAGAGCACCGCGTCGAGTTTTTCAACCTCCTTCGGGCTATCAATCTCCACTGCTTCCCTGCTCTCTTGAAGCTCGACAACCGGCAATTCAAGTTCGTCATTGATTCATGCCTGTGGGCGAGCAAACATGACAACCGCGATGTGGAAACTGCAGGGCTTAACATGTGCCTGGAGTTGGTCAACAACATCGCGGAGAAAACGGACGTCCAGACATCCAATGCCTTCTTCAACCAATTCTTCATTACCATTCTGCAGGACGTCTTCTTCGTCCTGACTGATCAGGATCACAAGGCCGGCTTCAAGACGCAGTCGATGTTGCTCATGCGGCTTTTCTACTTTGCCCACCCCGCCGACGGCACGCAGCCCAAGATTCAGGGGCCGATTTACCAACCCGATCAAGCACAACCTGGTACGAGCAACCGGGAGTTTCTGGGCACGTTCGTCAGCACCCTGTTGCAGAACGCATTTTCTAACCTCACGCCGTGAGTAACCACCTCCCTTGAGGACTAAAGCATTTTCCAGCTAACTCGAAGGATTCAGGGTCCAAATCACGGCATTCGTCGAGGGACTGTTTACTCTGAATACGCAGTACGACAAGTTCCGTCTAGCGCTCCGTGACTTCTTGATATCGTTGCGCGAGTTCGCGGGCGACCATGCGGAGCTTTACCAGGTTGAGAAGGAACAGATGGAGCGGGATGCCAGAGCGGCTGAGCTTGAGCGCCGCTCCAAGGTGAGCGGCCTGATCAAGCCGTCGGAGCTTGAAGACGATGAGCTGTGACTAGGGGTGGAGCTTAGGTGCGAATTTGCACCGTCGCACGAGTCTCGGACTGAGGAACCGCAACGTCGGCCACGCCATGATGGAGATGGCCAGTTCGATGGATGGGAGCTCTACGGGTTGTAGGCCTAGGCCGAAGGAAGTTATTGAGTTATTGATCTCGGCCTGTCAGTCACTGGGAGTAGCCCTTTTCTTGCTGTTTTGTGTGTGCGTGTAGTGATACCAATAGAAGAAAGGGTGGCGATCTAAATGCGCGGCTTGGCCTGGTCGTGCGGGAAGGAAGCTTTGTGTTGTTGCAGTTGTATGGCTTCCTTTGGTTCGCGCGACTCTTTCACCTTCCTGTCGGTCCTGGTTGTATTCCTTCTCGCTCGGAAAGGGGAAAAGATCGGAAAGTTGGCAGATTTCGGCATGGTGCTCTCTCATTATCGAAAGGGTGGAATCACAGTATATTGCTCTATCCTTCTCTACCGCCGTTCCTCTTCCCTGGCAAGAGGAGAGCGGATAAGACGTTCCATGGCGGTACCGCAACAATAAAATGCGGGAAAAGCTACGGAGCACATACAAGAGACTAAAGAGAGTTGTGAAAGGGCGGAAGTAGGAGGTCTTGGTGGCCGTTGGCGGTAACATGTCCGCAGACGTTGCTAGAACCTACCTAAGGCTTAAGCGGCAGGAAGGCATCGGTGAAGCAATGGAAAAGCCGGGTTACGTGTATTTACTCTTCTTGCCTTCGACGGAATCTGACATGCTAACGTTAGACTTGAGAGATACATAGAATGAATGCTTTCTTCATGGACGAATTGTATATTTACATAGCGAAACAGGAGACAGTACTTGTATTGTATTGTACAGTTCTGCTTGTATCGTACTTTGCTGTGCTGTAATTACGGATCTCAATACACTTGGATCCGCACCAGCTACGGAGTACTGTAGTACGCTTACTAAACTGGCGTTAAGCCGTCTGAGAAACGGTTTCCCCATTGCTACGCAGGTCGATCAATTCCACATTGATGAAACGCCCCAACTCAACAACAGCGTTCGTATTCCCCAGATGCCGGTACCGAACCCTGGGAATGGGCAAATACGAGAGCAGCGCAGATGCTTCCAGCCAGGTATCGCGTCTTACAAAGATACATACAAGTGCAATACATCCATAATCAGTTACAGTACAGGTCTGAGGCTTGTTTCGGCCGAAAGCTTGTTGCTTTCCTGTCCACCGCCATCGACCAGCCAAGGGGGGTCACAGCTTGAACCACTAACTCTTCGCTCTCTTGCCTTTTGGAATTGATTCGCTCATCACCCACCCGAATTCCGGACAGCTGGCTTTGTCACGTTTCAAAGACTTGGGCTTACGAGACTAAACTTACCACCGTTCTGAGTTCTGACATTGCTGGTGGCTCAGCTGAATGGCGCCTCTGGCGTCGGGGAATCTTCCGCCTTCCTTGACACCTCGACCTTGCTGGCATTGTTCAGCCGCGCGCCTCCCGTGCCAAAAGCCCATCATCAGGAGCGTTCCTAGCTGTCTCCCAAACCTGTCATCTTGTCGTCTCTCCTAACCTGTGTTGGACTGGGTTCTGACTGCGACTGCGGGGGCAAGTGTTGCAGCGCATTGCGACCTTTTAGGACCACCTAGTGCCGAACTGCCTTGTGGAGGCGGATGCGAAGTGTGTAGAATCCTAGATGAAGCTAGAGGAAGGTGCACTCGATGCACATCGCCAATGTCTTCTTGAGGCTACCTCTACGGCTTGACCGCGACAGATCACCATGACTTCCCTCTGGCCTGGCAGAGCGGGCACCCGCCGGCCAGTGGACCCAGCCCCGACTCAGAGCCAGCACTCAGACTCGCTACATCATCCCCGTGCGGGATCCACCGGCCGACGACTTAGCGGCGCCTCGAGAGTGCCGGAACCCAACATTTCGGACAGGCGAGCTCAGATCCAGGCCGACTCGAGCTCGTCCGATGAAGACCTTCACCCGTCGCGCCATCCATCGCGGCCCCGCCACAGGCGCTCCGTCAGCCATCCGTTCCCCTCGCTATTCTGGAGCGGCAAGAAGGTGTCTGGCACTATGAGACGCAGCGACGAGTCCGAAACAGATTCGGCTAGGGAGCCCTCATCGTCATCAAAGGCCAAGGCCAAAGCGCCGCCGCATTCACGGGGCCATCGCGATGGTTCTTCACTCGGCAGTAACGACTTTGCTACGGGAAATTGCATGACGTGCGGGGCGCTGGTGCGCTGGCCAAGCGAGCTTCAGGTGTTCAGATGCACCATATGCTTGACTATTAATGACTTGGAACCGGCCGGCGGGAGTTCCAGGCGGGAAGAGGGTCGAGAGGAGACGTTCGTGGCCTTGAGCAAGAAGCCATGTTCGGATAGTAAGGCGGCCACTCATGCACGGCGCGTGTCTTGACTTCTAACGGGCGCTGCAGTTAGGACGATATCTCTTGCGTACACCAAAGCTCTGATCGACCAATCTCTTCGCTCTTTTATAGCGTTTGCTTTGAAACGGGAGGTAACTCGATCCGCCGTCGATGACCATGTAACTCCTGCGGCTCCTTTCTATCCGCCCCCGGAACCTCCGAAAGCGAACGGGGATCCCGTCGCACCGCCCGCCAAGCTCTGCACCTCACTACCTGACCATCCGGGGACTTACGAGCCCCGTTCGGCGCCTGGCAGCTCTGGGGAGCCACCTCAGCGCCGCTGGGCTGCTGACTGGACCACCACCACACAGCGGCGTTACTCCACATCGTTTCCCGAGAGGAGACCAAATCTCCCCGACGTAGACATCCAGAATCCTAGGGGCCAGCGACCACAGCCGCCTCCAAGCCCAAGAGGAGAGAGTGACAGTGTGTTCAAAGCGCTAGAAGATTATATTGTAGCGTGTATCACTTCATTCGACTGCCTCAATTCCTCTTTCACCACCTATCGAACTCCTCCCAACATCCAACAGGATGCCAATGACGCTAGGCGTCGCTCTCCACCCAGGCATCGCCCTTCCCGGCGTCTTTCCGAATCTCGAAGAGAGTCGCACAAAAGCAGTCGCTCCGTTCCCTCCGTTCCCGATCTAGACCCGAAGCTTCTCTTGCTTGGAGATTTCGCAGAAAATGGCAGCTGGTGGTGTCAAGACGAAGTGAAACCAGCCAGAACCCTGTCGGGCAGAGGCCAGAACGGCCGCTCACCCGTGAGTGCGACCAATCCACGAATAGAGTGGCTGGAGCTGGAAGAGTGGTATGCCACCATCATTCACCCGGCATGGTCATGGTTTAAGGTCTACGACGACTTGGTCAAGCTGGACCCTACCCTTACCGCATCTAATGATTCGCTGCGTGACATTGAAGCCCAGCTGCTCGCCAGCCAAGACCAAGTTCGGAATACGCTCCTAAGGGCGTGCGAGACAGTCCTCAAGCGTCCTGGTCGGCGCATCACCGAACCCCACGAGCTCCGGTTCCTACTCATCATTACAGCAAACCCTCTTTTGCACTCATCATACAAGCCCTTTGTTGGCGGACACTTTCATTCCGCAGAAGACGACTTGAACCGAACCAGTTCGCTCCATCGAGGTACCGGGCCTTCCTCTGGACGTCATTCTGGAATCATCAAAAGAATTGCTGGCCTGATTTCGAACGCTCCTGCCGAGTGTCATAACCACCTTGTGGCCTGGGTTACCAGGTACCCTGACTTGTTGTTCGTTCAGACCAAGGATCTGTTCTCTGAGTTCCTAGTGTACCGCTTGGTTCGCCAGAACCAGAAGAAATACGAACCCGTAGTCGATATCACGGGCGGTCTAATTCCTAGCATAGGGGCCGGCCAGTCCGTGGCATCGCTCCACGCCGCGTTGGGTCACAGGCCCGGAGGCTCAAACAATAAGCGAAAAGGGGAGCCCAAGAAGATCGTATTTCAGGAGGATTGGCAGATAAAAGCCGCTGCACAAGTCCTTGGCTTGGTATTTACGGCTAACAACATCAGCCGTCACGCTCGGCGCGGACTTCCCGGCAGCCTGGAGAGCAGTGGCCCGGAACGGCCCCGCAGACGGGGCCAATTCCTCGCTACTAGCGATTTCTACGTAACCCTACTTGACGAATTGGATCTCGTGGCTGACTTTGACGCGTGGGAGCGGAATAAAGGCCGGTTTTCCTTTTGCTATTATCCGTTTCTCTTGACCATCGGCTCCAAGATCCGGATTCTGGAATATGAGGCACGACGGCAAATGGAGAGCATAGCGAGGGATATATTCTTTGACAACATCCTGAACAACCGAGGGATCCAGCAACACCTGGTACTTAATATCCGTAGGGAATGCTTGGTCGAGGATAGCTTGAAGGCTGTGAGCGAGGTGGTTGGCGGTGGCGGGGAGGACATCAAGAAGGGGCTGAAAATCACCTTCAGGGGTGAGGAAGGAGTTGATGCGGGAGGCTTAAGGAAGGAATGGTTCCTTCTTCTTGTCAGGGAGGTGTTTAACCCTGACCATGGTATGATCTTCCTGCCTCCTTCATTAAGCGGTCGATATGGTACTAACTTTGATCAGGCATGTTTCTCTACGACGAAGACTCCCACTACTGCTACTTCAATCCCAACTCCCTCGAGCCCTCGGAACAGTTCTTCCTCGTCGGCGTAGTCATCGGCCTGGCCATCTACAATAGCACCATCCTAGACGTTGCCTTTCCACCCTTTGCCTTCCGCAAGCTCCTGCTTGCCGGCCCACCCCCATCCATCCCCACCTCCCAACCGCGCCAGACAATGACTTACACCCTCGACGACCTAGCCGAATACCGCCCCCGCCTCGCTCATGGGCTTCGCCAGCTGCTCGAGTACCCAGGCGATGACGTCGAGTCGACCTTTGGCCTCGACTTTGTGATTGACACGGAACGCTACGGCTCCATCGAGCGCGTTGCCCTTCGCCCCAATGGCGACCGCCTCCCCGTCACCAACGCTAACAGGCACGAGTACGTCGACGCCTATGTCAGGTATCTCCTCGACACAGCCGTCTCCCGGCAATTCGAGCCGTTCAAGCGCGGCTTCTTTACCGTGTGCGGGGGCAACGCCCTGAGTCTGTTCCGCCCTGACGAGATTGAGCTGCTCGTGAGAGGGTCCCAATCGGACGAGAAACTGGATGTGGCCGCGCTTAAGGCCGTGGCCGAGTACGATGGCTGGTCGCGCGTGGCCACAACAGCCACTTCCAACAATCCTGCCGTGGGAGGCAGAAACAACAACAGCAACAACAAGAGGCCGGTGAAACATCAACTGCCGGACGAGGAGCCCACCGTCAGATGGTTCTGGGAGGTGTTTGAGGGCGCCGAGGTCGCGGACCAGCGGCGCCTGTTGGCTTTTATCACGGGCAGCGATAGGATCCCCGCCATGGGCGCCGCCTCGCTGATCGTCAGGCTTGTCTGTGCCGGCGAAGACTGCGGCCGGTTCCCCACGGCCAGGACGTGCTTCAATACGTTGGTCCTGTACAGGTATGAGACGAGGGAGAGGTTGGAAGCCATGCTGTGGCGGGCTGTGCGGGAAAGTGAAGGGTTTGGGCTGAAGTGAGGGCTTTTGAGTATTAGACTGCGCCTGCTTGAAATGCAGTGATTATTTTGATATCGAGAGGCGGGGGGAACAGTCTTCTCCGCGTGAGTTATGCGATGCCACACACGGACTGTCTCTCGGTATATCATGACGCCTTGCTCTTTCCCTCGCTAGATGCCGCGACAATTTAGCAAGTCCAACCCATACATTTCAAGTCAGTATAAAACCCGCCCCCCCCCCTTCTCTCTCTCTCTCTCTAACTCCCTTTCCCTCATTCCTGTAGGTGAATACTTTGGTGGCATCTTGGGAGGAGAGACTGCGAGAAGAATTCAGGTGGCAGCGCACACCTTGGCATGTGGTTGAGGATGGCCACCTATCTCTGTCAAGTGCGCTCTCCTCAGTTGGAACATGGATGGGCTCAGCATTGGGATTGATAGAGCCACATTGAGATGAGCTTAACAGAACAGGCCTACAAAGCTCGGGGAATTCATGGAATTAATGCAATCCCAGGAATTGGGCATGCCAGAGCTGGCACCGCTTTGCGCCTGACAACCTCGGCAGAGAGCAGCCTGCTCGTAATGATATCAGTTTTGGTTGTGAGATCATTTGACGAGGGTTACGGGTGGTTTAGGTTCTGGTTGCCAACAAGCGTCTAGGTAGGCGGTTTGCCACTTGCCAGGACTGATGGCATGTGCCACTGTGCAGGAATATCATGATACATGCCTCCTACTAGTATACTTTCTTTTTGAAGCTGACGTGGCTCGTTACAGTGCACAACCACACCTACATAGTCCTATACGCGCAGACAAGTACTAGTAGGCTCCCGCCCCTTCCTCAGCTCATGCCGCAGCATGCTGCGGACTCTTCAGCTCTGACAATAGTGGAATTCATCAGTTAAACACGATTGGCTATACGCCCATTTGGGGTCTTTTCGTGTTAGGACGGAAGACAGTGATTTGCTGGCTTTTCTCTGACTCTTTGAGCACGTGAATCTGACTGTGTTATTTTTATATTCTCATGAGCAGATATTTGCTTGTGATTGCCGGTTTGAAACTACTATCAACTGACGTTGGAGATCCTGAAAGAACATAAGGATATAAATTGGAGATGTATGCCCTTTCATTCCTGATCGTGCGATGGGGTTTGGGAGTCCCGAGTGCAGCGGAGCGTTTAAGATTCTAAACCTGTACGATGTGATACGGTAACGGTACCGTTAATATTGGTACACAAGCTCAACATGAATCCTGCTTTCTGTGTGACTTGACCCCGCAGTGAACCCTATTAGGCGCCCAATATCCGGGCTGGTGGAACGCCGGGGAAGCAATCCAGATTCGCAGAAGCAGGCTGACGTTTATGTACTCGCTATTGTATACACTAACGTATGCAGGCAGTTTGAGCCATTGCAGCCGGAGATAAAACGCTGCGGCTGCCACACAGAGTCGTCTTTATCTGTTCCCGTCGTCCAACGTTGATGCAAAGGTCCATAGGTATGCAATGGGTGAGAAAAAAACTACAGATTGGTGAAGCTCATCGCAGACAAAAGCATCTGGCTGTCGTGGCTGAAACTGCAATATGGCGGGGCTTGGGCCTGCTATGCAGATGAAATGCAACATTATTACATACCTGATATGGGTCGAATGTAAAACGTGATTGCTCGCACTGGCAACGAGAGGGATATGCCCTTGGGTATAAACCAAGAACTTCGCTGCGCATTCTCAATCATTCCTACCTACTACCTATAATAGTTCTCCCTCTGCTTCACTCTATATGTGTAGAGTTGCAGGCGGAATTACCTCCTCACTTGCCCTGGACTAACGCCGGGAATCCCGGACTCTTACAACGCCCGGACCTTTCGGTTAGACGCGCCGAGACGGACACGCTCGTCAGAACACCGACTCTCTTGAGGGTAACGTTATGAAGTATACTACACATGGGGGTACGCACGATTTCACGCCGTCTTGATTCGCTTGCCGCTTCCATCCGGCCTCGAAATCGAACGCCATCGCGAGTTCTGAACGAGATTTTAACATTGCATGCAGTGAGGGCGAAACGAACTCAAGAGCGCGATCAGCCCTGAATAGCAGCTGTCATCCCATCATACCTCAAGGTTGGGTCGCCCGCAGGACTCAGCCCCGCATAGAACAGCGGAGTATTGGCCCCTAAGAAAAACGGCCATCTTGCGAACCTACAGTACCTCTTGCACTGCCATACATAAAACGTACCGGACGACCTAGTTTATTTCATCAATCAACGCATAGCCAAGCTGGAAAGCCGCTCAACCTGGAACCTGAGCTCCGGAAAATAGGGCCACAGCTGTTATTATACACGAGACGGAGGGCTCACTGACCGAGATAACTCACCAAATTCCCGCTGCTGCCGAATTGGGACTTTGCAGGCAGGACACCCTAGCCACAGCCACCATCATCACCTCAGGCTGCACCCTGACCCGTCTGGCCCCATCCGCTGCCAAGGGTGCCGTGCCGCGTCGCCGAGAATAGTTTAGGTATAGAATACGGGAAGCACTCCAATTTCTTACCAGCGCAAACCTTTCTACTATCTCCCGCTCATTCCAACCATCCTCTCGTTGCCAAATACGAGGCATTTCGACACGACTTCTTTGTTGACTGCTCGTCACGGTCGGCCGTTCCAGCGCTGCCACGCCCATCGTTTTCCTTCTGCTTTTTCTCCCCTTTGCAAGTGACTTCCTATTACCCCATTTTCTCTTGGCATTCGACTTGCAGCGCCCAATTGCTATTTTGCGCTCGCGTCCAGACTCCTGGCGACAGCTCTCGGCGACCTGGCGGCCAGTCAACATCAGGGCATCCAGCGCCCAGCCGTCCATTTGGTCTCACCATCCTGCATCCTGCATCTCAAAGACCCTCTTCGGCGCAACTTTAGAGCGTCAACCTCGCGCCAATTACAGCCGCCTCGCGATTTCAGCTGTCGCGAGGCTGTCTCTCAAGTCTCAAAACTTTCCTAAAGGTTCGTGGTTTGAAACACCGGGTTTCTGTCTGAATCATTTCGCTGCAAACTGCCGCTTTTCTCTCTGCACCCCTCTTGCTATGCTGGCCTAGCAGTATGTTCCTTCATTCGCCATGTCGATTATAGCCGCATGAAATATCATCGCTCTCCTCCGTTGTTTCCTGGGTGCATTGTAACCTGTCGATTCTACGCTTTAGGTTCTTGCTGACTGATGATGTCGCTTTTATACAGAGAGTTCCCGCGGCTGAAACGCCAGACCTTCACCATGTCTAATAATACAAGTACCGGCCCGGATATCTCGACGTCGACGGATCCTGGGACACCAACTACCAGCGATCCCGCCCCAGCTACGACCTCCTCGACGACGGCTCCAACGACATCGTCCCCGGCTCCCCCCACGACCACTTCAACCCCGCCGCCGCCACCGCCAACAACAACAAGCAGCTCCTCTTCACCACCCCCTCCAACAACCACCGAAACATCTCCCACTAGCAACCCTCCCCAGCAGACGTCCACCAGCACCCCTCCCCCGGATGCGCCATCAACGACCCTTATCATTAAGACACTAACCGAATCTGTCCCCCCTGATTCGACACGAGCATCATCGTCCACCACCACAGCGTCGCAATCGTCGGGTGCCGCTATTAGTCCTAGTGAAGGCGAAGGTGGAGGGTTGAGCGACAGTGGAAGGATCGCCGTTGCCGTCGTGGTCCCCATTGCCGCCGTTGCTCTGTTGGTTCTGGCGGGCATTTTTCTGTGGCGCAAGCGGAAGCAGCGGAAGGATGCCGAAGAGCAAAGGCGAAAGGAGGTTGAGGATTATGGCTACAACCCGAACGCCGACCCAACAATACCCGCGGTCGCCGCTGGCGGCTTCGAAATGAGGGATGAGAGCTCGGCCGGCTACAGAGGCTGGGGTTCCACCACCGCCGCCGGCTCTACGGGGAGGAAGGCATCGACGACCATGTCGGGCGGCGCCGCCTATTCGGATGCTCATTCACCCACACAGGCAGCCGTTTTTGACTCGAGATCTGGGGAGCCCCTCATAGGCGATGTGCCTCCGTCACCCGAGGGCGGCATTCTAGGGGTAATGGGACCCTCGGCTGCCAACAACCGCGCCGGTGTGCACCGTGGGCCCTCCAACGCCTCATCGTCATACAGCGCGGCCAACCGATCTGACGGATCCGGCGAGGGTCCCATCGGCGTCGCATACGGGGGTCACGAGCAGTATGACCCGTATAGCAGCGGAAATCCTTACACGGACGCCCCGTACAACGGCCCGCCGGAGGGGGTTGGCCAGCCGGTGATTCGGGATGTGACAGCAAGGAGGAACACTCGCATCGAAAATCCTGCGCATTATCCACAACAGACCGCCGGAATCTCGCAAAACTTCTGATGGTTCAGCCTGAACGGGAGTCATTTTCCACTCAGGAGGCACCTTGGCGATTCTCCACTAAGATACCACTCTGCGAAGAAGCTTCTCTATGTTTTCTACTCCTGGTACTCGGTCTCGAGAAATCCTGTTCCAAAACCGGCGTCTGGATGTTTTGTTGTTTTGATGCTCTTGCGGCGTTCATGGAGCGGCTATGCAGCAGCCTTCATCAAAACCTAATCTCCCAGTTCACGAGACTTGCGGATTGCCAACTTCAACCAACGGCATCCGTTCCACTACTTCTCTGTATACATTTGCTAAATTGCTTGCACATATATGATGGGTTAGTCCCAGTCCAACACACTGTCTTCCTCATTTCTTCTGCCATAATTTCTCTTTCTTCAGTTGCCATGGGATTGGTTAGGAAGATGATTCTGAATGTTATATTTGTTACCGTGGATGTCTGGTGAAGCCAGGTGAAGCTTGGAAGCAAGGATGCTTGAGGTGTCGTGGATCGCCGTTTGTGTCATGACTCGGTGACAGCCCTTGACCGATATCATATATGCTCGCATGAAAGCCAGATCGAATCTAATATGCGAGAGCTTTCTGGGGGCCTATCTAACCTGGAGCCCTATGAAAGTTCTGGAGTTGTTGATATGTATATAGCAATACTACCTCCGTTCAGCATGCAGAAATCTGGATAGGAATGGTTTGAACAATATCGTCTCTTATTAGGTAGCCGGCGATTCTCTACGTTCACAGGATCAGGTAAGGTACTTTACCTATATCACCTCAGGGGCCGGGGCATCCAAGTAGAAGTGCGGAAGCGGTATTGATCCGGCTGCCCCACATTAGGCTCGGGGCCCGGGCGGGGCGGTGAGGTGTGCGGGAGCTCAGGTGGGTCTGATTCTGAAGTTTTCTGGATCATCCCACCTTTGCAACCGTGCGTGTTAAGCTGTCTACCCGCGCATCAAGTCCAACGACCTAGGGGACCAACTTTCACCAGCCCCGGCCATCCTCCAAAAACGATTCTGTTCCTCCCTGGTCTTCCGTTTGCTCCTCAGACACTCGAACAAAGCACCGTTGTGCTCAAGAATTTAGGCGGAAGCCAACGACAGGCAAAATGCAGGCCCCTGTCTTGGTGATGAGTATGCTCTCCTCGCTCATGGCTACTCGGATTTTTGCTCATATTCACCTCGTTTACAGACACCCAAAGCGGTGAGAGGCAGACCGGGCGTAAGGCCCAGCTGTCAAACATCGCCGCCGCCAAAACGTACGCTTCGGTTGCCCGCCTCTTGCTCGTGCCGCCTTCTGTTGAGCCACTGCTGAAACCCGTTTGACAATGCAGTGTCGCCGATATAATCCGGTCGTGTCTCGGGCCCAAGGCCATGCTCAAGATGCTGCTCGACCCAATGGGCGGCATCGTGCTTACCAACGACGGCCACGCCATCCTCCGCGAGATCGAGGTGTCGCACCCAGCGGCAAAGAGTATGATTGAGTTGAGCCGGACGCAGGACGAGGAAGTGGGCGATGGAACGACAACCGTCATTATTTTGGGTGAGCGAGCTATGAACACAGAATGAACAAGCTGAGGGGCACGGTGCTAACGTCTGGACACAGCGGGAGAGATTCTGGCGCATGCACTTCCTCAGCTGGAGCGCAACATTCATCCGGTTGTCATCATTTCGGCCTTCAAGCGGGCGCTCAAGGATGCGCTGCAGATCATCGACGACATTTCCCTTCCCATCGACATCAACGACGACAAGGCCATGTATCAGCTCATCTCGTCGTCGATCGGCACAAAGTTCGTCTCGCGGTGGTCGCAGCTGATGTGCAGCCTGGCGCTCAAGGCGGTCCGCACCGTGACATGGGAGGTGGGCAATGGCAAGCGCGAGGTCGACATCAAGCGATATGCACGCGTCGAGAAGGTTCCCGGCGGTGAGATTGAGGACAGTCGCGTGCTGGACGGTGTCATGCTCAACAAGGACATTACCCATCCCAAAATGCGTCGCAAGATTGAGAACCCCCGCATTATCCTTCTTGACTGCCCGCTGGAGTACAAGAAGGGCGAGTCGCAGACGAACATCGAGATCACCAAGGAGGAGGATTGGAACCGCATTCTTCAGATCGAGGAGGAGCAGGTCAAAGCCATGTGCGAGCACATCGTTGCTCTCAATCCCGATCTAGTTATCACAGAAAAGGGAGTCTCCGGTAGGTGCCGAGAGGTTTTCGGGCTTGATTGCTTGGGCTGACAAATCGCTTGCAAACAGACCTTGCACAACACTACCTAATGAAAGCCAACGTAACTGCACTGCGTCGCGTGCGCAAGACGGACAACAACCGGATAGCAAGAGCGACGGGCGCCACCATTGTGAACCGCGTGGAGGACCTACAAGAGTCAGACGTTGGCACGCAGTGTGGGCTGTTTGAGATTGAGAAGATCGGCGACGAATACTTCACGTTCCTCACAAAGTGCAAGTCACCGAAAGCCTGTACTGTCCTTCTCAGGGGCCCCTCCAAGGATGTGCTCAACGAGATTGAGCGGAATCTACAGGACGCCATGGGCGTGGCGCGCAACGTCATGTTCAGCCCAAGACTATCGCCTGGTGGCGGCGCCACTGAGATGGCCGTTTCGGTCAGATTAGCGCAAATGGCCAAGAGCATCGAGGGCGTGCAGCAGTGGCCGTACAAGGCTGTGGCTGAGGCGCTCGAGGTGATCCCTCGGACACTGATCCAGAACGCGGGCAAGAGCCCTGTCAGAGTACTGACCGACCTGCGGGCCAAGCACGCCGAGGGCAAGAGCTCGTGGGGTGTCAACGGGGACACGGGCGCGTTGGTGGACATGAAGGACTACGGTGTGTGGGAACCCCAGGCGATCAAGGTACAGAGCATGAAGACAGCGATTGAGGTATGCATTTCCGGCCTTGCCCTAGTATTCCCCCGTAGGAATGTTGAGACGCTGACTGAATGTCCGGTAGGCTGCATGTCTCTTATTGAGAGTAGATGATATCTGCAGCGCCAGGAAGGCGCAGCCGGGCGTGGGCACCGGCGCTGTAGCGGACGACTAAAGAGAGTCGTCAGCTTTTTCCCTTTTGGCGAAGCGGGTGTCCACAACCACAGAGATGTAACTGACATTCTCCGGCGCCAAAGAATACCCCTTTACCAAGAGTAGTGTAAATGAGGATAGGATGCCCTGCCATGATAGACAAAAAGGGGGCCAGTTCAGTCTGGTTGAGTTGATTGAGGCTGCATCGCTCCGTGTCGCTGGTCAGCCCGCTCAATGCCTGACGTGGATGACGAATAATATTCATGGCCTTGTCGTTCTCAATCATCGTCGTGAATAACCAGCCCTTGCCCGTCCGCTTCCGGCCCCGCAGCAGCCCTGGGCGCAGCACTGCTCCCATTCAAACCCGGACCATCCCTCGTTGCATCTGCCATTGTAGAATCATCCCCCTGGGCCGTCCTCGCGGTCCCTCCATCCTTCCTTGCCCCATCCTGACCATCATTATCCCCACTAACACCATTATTGGCCCCCTTTTCCTTTTTCTCTGTCTCCTTCTTCTTCCCCTTCTTCTTCTCCCTCTTTTCGCGCTTTTTCCGCGTGCGCTCCTCGTCCTCGCGCTCGCGCGCCCGCCGCCGCTCCTCAAACTCGCGCTCGGCCCGCTCCCGCTCGTTCTCCTCCTCCATGCGCCGCAGCCGCTCGTACTCGCGCCGCCGCGCCGCCTTGTACACGTGGAACTCGCCTGACCCGGCGCCCGCCGAGGAGCCCTGCACGTTGGTCACGATCTCGGGCGGCGGCGGGAGCGGCTTGCGCGACGATGCGGCAGGAGGAGGAATCCGGATTTCTTGGTCCGGGTTGGAGAAGAGTGCTGACAGGGTGGCTGCTTGCGCCGAGGTCGGTGATAAGGCGCGTCGGGATTTCTTGACGGGTCGGGTCGTTAAGGGATCGGTTTTGGTTGGATTTGAGGTTGCCATTTTTTTTTTTTTTTTTTCTTTGTTTTCCTCCACTTGATCGATTTTCGGGGGATTCTTTTGGGTTCTTGATAGCGATGATGAGAGGGCAGTGAAGTGAAGTGAAATTGTCAGTTTAGGTGTTGATGTCGGTGTCGTGACGCGCAGTTGTTAAGGTAGTTTAGGTGAGACCTGGATGTAGTGTAGGGCTGGCTGATGCACCAGGCTTCTATGGTAATTACATTACATCACAAACTTACAAATGTATTTGGAAGTTGAGTATCCGTAAGTACTGTACCTTACACAGTAATATACATACGAAGTACGTCACATACCAACGTTAACACCTTTAGCTTGATTCTGCTGGGAGATGGCGCCAGGGTCTTCGACCGTTTGCACTTGATCGTTTGCAACTACCTTGATTGGGCGAACTGTGAAGTTGTCCAGAGTAGGCATCTAACCGCGCCCTCTCTGCGATCCTGGGTCTCTAGGGCAAGCGGCTCGCAGCTTCCGGCAGAATGGATTTTTATGTTGTACAGATTCTCATGCCTAGCTTGGTTTGGATGGTGTGGAAGAGAAGCAGATTATAATGGCGTTATCGTCGGTTGAATGCGATTGCATGCGAAGCCTTTGCTGATCAATATACCCATTCTCCTAACGACGAATCGGTCTGAGCTACAGGCGCTTGTCTCAAGCACCTCTACGGCTTCCAGGTTGGTCGTCGCTCCCAGGGACCTTACAGCCGCCTTGACGGCCTGACCCGCCATTGGGGTCTGGCTAGCCGCCTGATTTGAGGGCGAATCAATCAGCGGTGCAGGGGGGCCCGTCAGTGGCAGAACCTGGCGAATAATAGCTGTCGAGTGGCACCAGAAGTGGCACGAATAACGCAGATGAGGGGCGATAAGGATTGGAGCTGATGCGATATCGCCCGATTCACAGTTCCATCATTGCACCGCACTTCACTTCACTTGACGAGAAATTTGACCAAGACCAGCTAGCGACGCATGCAACACGGTCATCGCTTATTGATGGGCACTTTGAACCTGGAGAGGCCTGAATGAGACGCTTGCTTCGACGCAGTTGATACCCCTGTTCACATCCAAACTTACTACACTTACCGGGAAGCGCGCTACCAAGGAGAAATAGCAGCTTACCGTGTGTGGTGGGGCACACGGCTCGTTCCAATGCCCAACATCGTCTTGTAGCTTTTTGTTTGACAAGCTGCATTGGTAATTGAATCTTGCCAAGAACCTGGATGAGTCCTATTGATGCCCTGCCTTGCGATAGTCAACTGCTCTACATCTGGTCTTCTACATCGATCTCTTCTGTCATCTCTACAGCGTATATGAGTCTCTGAAGTGCCCCGCTCTGGTGTGTCAACTGTATCTCCCAACCAACGCCGTTCTCTCACCAGAAACCTCAACCTCGACATTCATTCCAAGTCTCGAACTCGGCGTACTTACCTACTTACCCTGTCTTGTATCCTGGTACAAGGACGCCTTGTCCCAATTGGCCGTCTTCCACCCGATCGCCCTCAATACCGCGCCAACAGTGCACTTTGTCTCTGTATGCCTGTGGTGACTCGTCATGGGAAGACCCAGGCTTATTATAATCATCAGACACGCCCAGTCTGAGGGCAACAGTACGTCGCGCATCCTGTGTCCTACTCAGTCCGTGGCAGACTGGTCACACTGGTGGCAGGCCGACTAATTAGACATCCGTTTCTGCTTTCGCACAGAAAACCGCGACATCCACCAAACAATACCCGACCACCGTGTCAAGCTCACCAAGGAAGGATGGCAGCAAGCGTACGAGGCAGGCCGCCGCCTGCGCGCGATGCTGCGGCCCGAGGATACGCTGCATTTCTTCACGAGTCCGTACCGCCGTACGCGGGAAACAACCGAGGGCATTCTGGCCACCCTGACCAGCGACGAGCCAGAGACGAGCCCCTTTAAGCGTGATAAGATCAAGGTGTACGAGGAGCCGCGGCTGCGCGAGCAGGACTTTGGAAACTTCCAGCCATGCAGCGCCGAAATGGAGCGCATGTGGCAGGAGCGTGCCGATTATGGCCACTTCTTCTACCGCATCCCCAATGGCGAGAGTGCCGCCGATGCCTACGATCGAATTAGTGGCTTCAACGAGAGCCTCTGGCGGCAATTCGGCGAGGACGACTTCGCTAGCGTCTGCGTGTTGGGTACGCTACCCCTTTTGCTGCTAGATTAGAAGCCAATTTTTTGAAAATGCTTATACCGTCTCTGACTAGTCACCCACGGCCTTATGTCTCGAGTCTTCCTCATGAAATGGTATCACTTCAGCGTCGAGTACTTTGAGGATCTCCGCAACATCAACCACTGCGAGTTCCTGATCATGCGGAGAAACGATGAGACGGGCAAGTATATACTCGAGAACAAGCTGCGCACATGGTCGGAGCTCAAGCGGGAGCGTGCGGCCCTCCTGGCCAAGGAAAACGGCGAGACCAGCAAGGAAGGTGGAAACAGTAAGGACGCCTCCACGCTTGCGCGCGCCGGCACCATCGAGACCAGGCGTCGCTGGGGAGGCTGTCCCAACGGCTGCAACCATGACAAGAACTTCAGGATCCGCCAGACACTAGCTGACCTCGTCAAGAGCGACAGTGTCATCTCTGACCACGCCGTCGGCCTGACCGCGAGCGAATCTGGCTGCAGCTTGTCGGCCGGGGGCGGGCACATGTCGGCACTCAACGGTACCGACACCAGCGGCTCAATCTACGGCGTCGGTAACGCCTCTCTCAACGGTTCGTCCAGCACCCAGACTCTCGTTAGCCGTCGGCCAGCAGCCAAGCGGTTCCAAAGTGCGGGCAGGGACGAAGCCGACGAGCCACAACTAGACTGCTGCACGGCAACATCGGGGCCTCAGATCGACGTGACCAAGGCCCGCGACGAGGCCGTCTCTAGTCCCGACGGCACCCCGTCATACATCTCGGTCGATGACCGACTCCGTTCCCGGCTTAAAAGCCCCAACATGCCGCCCCCGCGCCCACTCGACCCAGGGCAGCTGCACGTCGGCCGTGACTTTGGGGGCACCTACAGCGGGCACAACAGCGGCGCTAGCGATGACCCCGGGGAGTATGACGAGGAGTACTCATCCGAGGACGAAGATCAGGTCGGCGGAGGGGGAGGCAACCTGTCCCTACCCCTCAGGTCGCGAGACAGCAGCGGTGCGGTCGGCATGGGTGCGAATGGGGATGGTAATGGGAACGGCGAGTTCCAGTTACGCCACCTTCGCGACCAGCGCGAGCAGAGCCGCATGGGCCGCGGCATGAGAGCCAATCGGCTCGGCGATCACCACAGCAGTGACGGGGAGCATGACGCGGACGGGGAGCACGAGCTTGGTGGGGCAGATGTTGATGTCGATGGCGATGGCGATGTTGATGACCACAGCCAGAGTGGATCGAAGCTGGCGAGACCGCTGATGGCGGCTAACACTAACGGGGCTGCTGGGGATGAGGCCCTGAACGAAGCCGAGAGGGAGGATAAAAGCATTATGGGGAGTGTTTACTAACTGGGTGTGTAGTCTGGCTGAGCCTCCTAAGGCTGCCGCGGATGTTGGAAGGGCGAGCCTGATTGAAACGTGACATTTCGACGATTATGAAGCGATGGCTCTCTGTCTTTGGTCTTTGGTTGGGCTTTGAGCGAGCCATGAGTCACTGGAGGGGCGATCTCGGCTGGCTCTTGGCCCGGAAATTGGTTCTGCATTTGTTTGGCCGTTTCCTTCACTGTTATAGCGGGCTGGAAAACATGGTAAAAGTCGAGGGTACCAGATCATCAGGAAGGCGCATGTTTTCTTTTTTGGTCACAATTTTTGGTCTCGTTGATGGGCTCACGTTTACTCTAGATCTCACCTTCCTACGGTTCAGGTTCACTTGTTCTAGTTTTCCATTGCCTTACGTGTCTGGTACAACCGAGGACTGGGAGGAGATACCATGTTGATATTCTTGCTTGAACTCGCCATAGCATACCAGATTGTCCATTGCCCCTTTCTGTACCTTCTATGCCCCTTTTCTCCTGTCTGACTGGAATGGTGTCTGTTCATGGTCTCGCAGGACGCTGTAGTGGGAGCTACAAAGAGCTATATCCAGGACTAGAGAGGAATGGTTATAAACTCGGACTAATCAACTGCAGGTTCGGCTCATGTCTATAATTGGTGAAAGCCATGCTCAGTCGTTTGTGATTATTGTATCAGCCTCCCGAGGGACGAAGATAAAGAGTCAAGGGTTTGAGTCCGAACATGGACACGGCGAGAGAACAACTGCCCCCTCGTCCCAGATGTTCTTTATGAGACTGGAGAACGTTCGGGTTGGCATGGCTCCGTCCCATCCCAAACCTCATTCACCACTTCACGCGATTGCTTAGGTAACTCATTCACAGTTGAAGCTACCTCGTCACTGAGGCTTCACATTCAGATTTTTGTCATAGAGAGTGAGACGACAGTGATTGCTCCTCATACGGTTTGCATCTAGGGACGTGGAACCTGACATCGAGCTCCAAGTCCTGATATTACATGGCATCGGATTGGGCCCCCTCTTTCTCTTGCTTTATGTCCGCCCCCCACCATGGCTCCTATGCTTAGTAGGGATCACAACCCTCCCTTGTTATTGCCTTGCGATGGTATACGACTACACGCTAACCATGTCGAGCGGTGAGGATATCTGTATCATTGACTAGACAGGGGAGGGAACGGGTGACCGAACGAAGAGGAGATGCCACAACACACAGCACACCTCAGTGAGAGCCACCAGCTTCACATAACCCCGACACAGATGAGTGATGGTGAGCGAGTCGTTAGCGAATGCCATTTGTAGAAGACTTCAGCGCCATGTCCAGTTATTCGGCCGACGCACCGCCGGTGGCATTCGCGGTTCGTCTTCATCATCCAATCGAAACATGATGTCCGGGGGCAAGAAGGAGATGAGACAGACTTATTCCATACCCTGCTTCTATGAAGCTTGGAAGATAAGGAAGCACACTCAAGGAGCATACCATCTCTAATGGCATGATTCAGTTGCACCCACTCCATGACCAAGGTGAGGCCGCCAAAAGGGAACACGGGTTGTGGCAGAGCACACCGTGCAAAACAACTTTGGGGAGGGCAAGTACGTCATGTACAAGTCAATTCCAAGTAGTAGACGGGCACTGAAAAGGGAGTACCCTACTTGAACAATTTGCTCACCTCACTGAGAGGACTCGGGGCGAGAGCAAGACACAGAGAAAGATCCCTTTTCGCCCCTTTTCGCCCCATGGTCGGTGTCTCTATACGCGCTGTGAGCCGTCCCTCGAGCAGCTGCATGTCTCAGACAGGTAATTGTATCCCTCGCTGATACCATGCTGGTAGTACATACTCGCCGTTTGGTAAGTACCTAAGCATTGGACAGAAACTACTTTTGAACCAAGCAGAGCTTCCAGGGACTCGGCTGAGCTTGGATAGTTACCGAGTCGGAAGAGTAATGGACGATGAGCCTGCCATTGCTCAGTATCCAGTAGAACAGATGACAACATGCCGCTAATAACCTCACGCACGAAACGGGACGTCATCCACCACGTCGGCTCGTCGCACAAACCATTAGGCTCACAACTTCGAATAAGAGAGGCACCACAACGGCATCCCGATAGAACGGGAGACTGCACCACAATCACATACGGTGAGAGTTTTGCCCCCGGTACAGCGTCACTCGCCACCGGAACCAACCTTGAAGCTGCCGCAAGACAACGGGCTCGAGCCGACTACCGCCGCAGATCGGATGCTGACATGGTTACTACTTAGTACTGATGATGCTGCTGGCTGCCGCTGCCCGGGCTGGACGTGCACCGTACCGTCGTGACCCCCACCAGTAGAGTAACAGGGCTATGTAGCACGTCGCAACCCTCAAGGTCAAAAAAAATTTTCTGGGAGGGTGGAGGAAAGGGAGAGGACATCAGTTAAGGCTGCCGTGCAACCCTCCTCGTGCTCTCCCCCACCTTTGTAGATCAACAACCCTCAAACCCAGATGCCGCGTGCGGCACAGACGTTGGTTAGACAGAGAAAGATGCCAGAGATCGGAGGGGAACAGGTCGCACAGGTGTTGGGGTGTGGGATCGAGGCCGACAGGCGTATGACAAAACACATTGCTGGCAGAGTGAATCATGATGCTGATCAGTCCAGGTAGACAGACGACCGAACGCGATTCCGAGAGTCAAGCTACAACACGATCATGGTGTGACCCACGCCGAAGCACCACCGTTGTCGAGGGAACTGGCTGCCTCCTGACACAAACACATGGGGCAATAAAAGGGAATTCACTTAGCCATATACATCTATCTCTATTGCCACTTTACTACATAGCACTAAGTCAGGCTACGCCATCTAACGCAGAGTCGACCTCATCGAGCGGAAGGGCACTGCTCATGAAGAGGCGAGCATGTCTCAAATCTCCCATGGTCCGACGCTGTACTGTGTATTGAGGCCATGCAAAGCGCCCTCCAGCTATCCAGGCCAACCAAGACACCTCCCCAGAGAAGTGTGCGATTCAAGACCAGATGTAGAGGCACGGCGCAGGCGCAGCGCAAAGCTTGTCGGCTGCGCAGCCCTAGCGACTAATAAACACACATCCTCGTGTTGAGTCCTGTTCCTGCAGCAGAGCAAAACCAGGGCAGGCCGCTGCCCCTGATTGCTGCTCTCCTGTCATATTTCTCCCCGCTCTGGAGAGCAGGGTCCTGTGAGCATGACATCTCACAGACTCGCATCCATAGTGGCTATCGCATAGCCTAAAACAAACACAATGAAGAATGTTTCGTAATGGCCCAGGCCGGGCAGGTCGGCACCATGAATACAGCACACCCTTCACGGCCCTGATGACAAGCCGGATGAGAGACCATACCTACCTATCCAAGACTCTGGTCATTAGGACAGGATATGGTGACTCTCAACCCCCCACACAACCTCCCTCGCGCAGACATACGAGCGCAAAATAGCGCCCGTCTTTTCCATTCCACGGTTCTGCATGTCCTGCGGCAGCTACGTAAGAGTAAAAAAGGGATAAGAAGAGGCAGGGTTGGTGGTCAGTCAGGCTCGACCGAAGGTGTGTGTGTCAGCCATATAGGGTTTTCCCCGGCCGGGAGCAGGACTTCGGGTCTGTTGGATCTGTGGTGTGGACGGTGTTGGGGTGGCTAGGGTGGGTAGTGGCGGATATGCACGCCATACGCTTGCATGAGCCGGCCCCGAGGTTTGTTTGCGAACCACTGTTCACGCCTCTTCATCACGAGTTGAGATGTAGTGGTGAAGACAGAGAGGCTGGTCTTGTTAATAGCACCGGGCTACCTGATAGTGCAGAGCAACCGAAATTTTCCCATGTTTCGAAGGGAGATGTTCAGCTCCATGCTGTCGGCCATGTTTTGACCAGTCAGCATCCTTAGTAGTATGCCATAGGAAAGAGCAGCGGCAGCGGCAGCGGCAGCGGCATGCTGTGTACTAACGTTAGCTTTGTCCAAGCTAGCCATCCAAGAGGCCTCTAGAGCTGTCTCTTCAATGCTACCCGGTGGCAGCACCAGCGAGACGCAGGTAAAAGCTGAAGGCCAGGAGAGGATGGATGGGTGGGTGGGTAAACTGCACTGCTGCAGACCACCACAGTACAGTGCCCTCGGCGACCTGCTTTGCGAGACGCTAAGGTAGTGGATGATTGCTGTGGGAGCGTAATCCATAGCATCCCTATTCGGGCAACCCGTGGTGCTGTTGGGCGCTGTCGGTCTCTAGAGGCGACCAGAACAAGGCAAGCCGGCGGCAGCCTCTTGCGCGGCCATCCACCACCCATCGCCCGCCATCACTGCCACCTTGCCGCGCATGCATGTCACCGAAACGAGCCGACATGGCCGCCATGGCGAGAAAGGGTGCAGAGGGAATAGACATTACCTTCGTAGTATACGCATCTTGCCATCCCAAATCCGCTAGGTATGAGCATGATTGCCAATGCCTGCGCCAATCCGTGCCTGGCAGCCTTGAGAAAGCCGACGAAGATGCGCAATACACACAGTGCACTACCTCGTGTACGAGCTCCTTTCAAATTGCAATCCTCAACTTTGGCCGAGTCCCTGCGGTGCATCTGCGGATAAGAATACCCGGTTGTGACTACCTTATCTATGCGAGCATAGCGTGGCAAGTGGAGCTTATCCGATCGTCGTCGCGAATCACGATTGAGGCAGCTGTGCTTTGCGAAGCAGCGACCAGGCAAGAGGCCCCTGTTTCGATCAGTCAGTGTGGATGTTGTTCCAAGTCCCAAGTCAAATTCCATCACACAAAACGATCCCGAGCCCATGCCACCGGCCGATCTCAACTCTCCATCACACAGCTACTAACTATGTAGACAATGGCTTGCTGCTGCTGTCCGTACTGCAGGTGGTGCAAATGGGATTGCTTGCCAAAAGCTCGACTCCTGCGAGCGGAGGTCTAATTACCTACCGTTACCTAACGTTGATAATCGTCCAAGAACGCTACCTACCTAGGTATTGGAGCGTTGTAAGACAACGTTAGTGTCCCGATTCTCCTGTCATGTGAGAGGAAACTAAGGCGGCCGCACGCATCAGATCCGCTCTTACACTAATCACAACTAAGACTGCCCAGCTGGATCGTGGGCAATGTCTCATGGAGAGCAGAAGAAGTTAGTGGATTCCCAAGATGCGTTTGGATGACACCCTGTCTCTGCACAAGATAAGTCACCCGACTGAGCCCTCCTACAATCGTACATACACTACCTATCCGTACCAGTATATGCTACTGATAATGTGTATGCAGAAACGCACCAGTATTCTTCAGACCCTACCAGCGTCAGTCGCCTCCAACTTGCATGATCAACATTGCAGACCGCAGGGTAGGGAACTCTGAGAATTGCTGACTGAGTTATAAAGGGGAGCGGGGTCATCTCCTCCACGCGTCCATTCAGCGTCCGCAGTTGGCACCGACGACTGCATTAGCGTCGTCCGTTGGACTGGTTCAAGTCACAAGTGTATCCATATGTAAGCCGGATTTGGGACGAGATGAGCACCCTGCTGAGGCCAAGAAGCTGTTGCTGGATCGCGCATTGGCTTGCTGAAGACAGCGATGTAACAATAGCACCCAAACTTCTTCCACGGGACCTGGCCTGTGACGGCGATTGAGTGTGCAGGACCCATTTCCAGAAAGGTGAAATACTGGATCGCCAAGAATCCGTAACCAAGCAAATTCGTGGCGCTACATGCCAGCTTCTGGAATCTCAAAACAACGACCTGTTCTACGTAACAGTATCTTCCATTTCCTTTTGGATCCGTTTCCCGAGTCTCAAAAACGTAAAAGCGATTGACGAGAGTTGAATGTAGGGGTTCCTTCCCCGCCTTCATCAGGTTCAGTTTCAACACCCCAAACTCTTATGCCAGAGCTCTACCAGGATATGTGTCAGGAACAAGTCGGCTTGCGGTTGGTGCTTGGTCCTGGGTCTGTTCCCTGCATTGGCACAGACATTTCATCAGTCTCTGGGCAACTTGTCTGGGCGGTTGCGTTAGTGCAAACGGGCACCAGGTCACGGACACTGTCTGGCTTTTTGGTTCCCGCACCCAGCGCCATGGGACTGTTTTTCGGGCCAGCGCCTCATCGGCGTCTGTATGTACTGTACATACAGTACACTACATAACTAAGGTAGCTCTAGCACAAAAGTCGCCTGGTTTGCCTAGTGTATGGACTCAGCACTCAGATACTGCGCTGCTGACATCAACCTCAACAACGCCCTTACATGTTTCTACATTCACTAACGCTATCCTTTTTCATCGATTCTCGGTCAACTTGCCGAAGACCTTTGCTAATCGGCCCCGCTGAAGTCCGGCGTCGTGGCATGGAGGGCGGACTATTCCGTTTTTAGTTGGGCCTGCATACGCAGATTGCGGGGAAGATCCACTGGCCCTGGCCTTGGCACGATCAGCGGGCCCCACACCGAGCAGAAAAGAACGATTTGATTATTACGACGGCCTACAACGGCATGTACCCCACCCACACTTACAAGCTACACACCAACACCAACATCGAAGTACTAAAACTTGAGGCAAATACAAATTGAATTGGGCATTTGCCCATAAGCAAGCACCGGGCTAAATCGCTTGAGAACGCGAAAAGATATGAATCGAATGCACAAAAATACTGCCCGCCCAGACCGCCCGGCTCTCCCTAACTTGCCTGCCCACCACGCCTACGCCTGCCCTGTGTAGGCGGCTGCCACTGCTGTGTTGTATGCGAGTACTCTTCGCATCAAGTCCCGGTACTTCGATGTTGGTCGCTGTAAAATTTGGGTGTGGCTTTGCGTGTGTGGGCGGAGGTACATGCCGTTGTAGGCCGTCGTAATAATAAAATCGGAAAAGAAAGAACTCCATGAGAATTGTGGGCACCGGGGATAAGCTTGATGATCGAAGCATACAAGCCCCTTCCAGTCTTGGCATAAAACGAGCGGAAAAAGCAGCAATGGCCGGAGGATTTTCAAGTTGCCGTTAACATTGCGTTTCTTCTTTCCCATTTCGGTGCCAACGGTCATTTTGAGCCTCCCGGCATCTTGCCATACACTAATTTGACGGTCCACCGCGGTACAAACTCTGTACGATGGTACGATCAACTCCACGTAATTCAGCTCTGTTTACGAAGTACACCCCCTGGTTGAACTCGGAGACGCAATGAATGCCTTCTGCCGCCACGCCCAGCCTAGGACATAATGCTCGCATACAACATTCCACATTGGATCTTCACATTTTGCCCTCGCCATTTTCGCTTGTGTGTGCCTTTAGCGCCTAACGTTCACTGCGCGAGTCGAGAGAGTCGAAGAGACTCAAGAGCAGGTCGCTTAGCGGGCTCTGCCGCTCGGCGCCTAAGCCAATCAGCGCTGTCCAGTCTCCAGGAACTTCAGCTCGAGCGTATCAGATCGACAGGGCTTCAGGGTTTAAACCACACAAGTAAACGAGTAAACCCAGTTCCGCACAAGGGATGCTACGTTTGCCGCCGATGCCAAGCAGGGGGAAAGCATGCGTGCCAGGGTCAAGTCTGAAATGATTGAAGATTTTTGTATGTGTATCCAGGGGTAAACAAACCTTCAGATGAGAATCATTCTCATCCTCCGTTGAAACTGTTGAGACGACCAGGCGCCTTCATGCTGACAGGCGGACAGCCCACATTTATGCGGGCAAAGAAGCCGCTTACGACAACACAATGCCGACTTGAATGATCCATCTTAACATTTAACACATTAGGCGGGCCTTCAACGACTGATGGCATGCGGCATGCTCTACAGTCTCTTTACATACTCTACGTAGTAATCGTGATGTGCTGTGCACTTTTATGAGGCCGAGATTGCCCAGGGGCGTTTCAATCAGGTTGCAGACGGCCGGCCATGGCCGCTCTGGTCCAGATGCAGCTTGTTGACGCCCGCCGCTTCTCCGATTTTTTTTTTTTTTCCCTCTTCGCGCATTCAGCCGGGCGCATGCCGCCTGCCTGACGTGCTTTTCGTCAGCCATGGTTAAAAACAATCAAACTCGGTTATCTCTCTTAGCAGGGAGATTTGCATTGTCCTGCCTCGCATCGGCCCATGCAGGACAGAAACGTTTTTCTCAGCCCAGCCACTGACCGAGTCTGACGGGGCCTGGAGTCTGACTGGACAGCTGAATTGGGAAAGGGCTGACTCTCTGTGCCGGCTGGAAATCCAGCTTGGTTGTGGATGTTAGGCTCACCCCTTGTAACTATTCGCAACGTCAAATGACAGAAAAATTTGAGCTCGCTGCCAGGCGACCAATCGTCAGAGAGCTTTCCACCGATACATACATTAGCTAGTAGCTACCCCTGGTCAGCCGTCAGCGGCGACAAGACAGATCGCCGATTGCGAGCCGATTGCAAGGCTCCGCTCATCTTGGTTCTTGACGAACTATCTCAGCAAAACCAGTTCATGAGCGCTAACGAGTGAGATAGCCTGCCGTCGTCTTCGAGAAATCAAGGAAATGGGTTCACCTATCGAGCCTTCCTATCTACCATGCGAAGTACTTCGTATCTAGGTCCTGTACTGTACATACAGTAGTACTACATGAACAGACAGGCTGCTTTTTAAGTTTTCCTGTTCTGGACATGAGGCTGTGCCTCTGCCCCTTGGTTTTTGAAGGTTCGATATTTTGATCACATAGCCCCTTCATATTCTGATCTGTCCTACAAGTCTACACAGTACCTCCGTACCAGTTTGAACAACTTGGATTGTCCGAGTCACTGGGATGCAGCAAATTGGTCAAACCAGAAAGTGAAGTGAACATCAGCACATCAGCACCTTGATTCTCTCACAACCAGCTGCGCGGGCCTCGTGAGCAGTATGATTGGCTGCTCACCGACTGATTCACTCGCACACCATCAGGCATCAGACCTTGGTCAAAGCCACCACTGACGACGCCGGCAAAACTATCATTACTGTACCTGGGTAAGGTATGTATGTATTGTACAGTATATACTTTCGAGGCTTTAGAAAATCCCTTCAGATCATCTGCCAGATTTTCCACGTTTGATGGCGGCGTCTTCGTGTTCCTTTCTATCAGTGTAGTAGACCTAATCTCCTGCTGGATCTGAAATCGAAGTGCAATGGGTTGTCCCTCACAGCAGCTGACCTGATCAACCCAGCCTCCTCCTACCTATGAAAATCTTGAATCGAACACGCACAAGGCTTGGTAGACGCATACTTCGTAGTTACAGTACTGAAGAGATCGCTTCTTCGCCTCGATCTCTTGTCACTTGGCACTGAGCATTGTGTAAGCTGTGTCACGGTGTCGTTGCGGCGACTCCTAGCACTCATCGACCATGATGCTACAACTTGATGGAAATTATAGCCTCCTCTTGGTTCTTCCTAGGCTTGAGCAGACTCGCACAAGACATGGCCCTAAGCTGGTTGATTGGAAGAACTGTAATAGTTACAGTATGCCTGCTTGCTCTCGCGGCCGGCTTGTTGAGGCACCGGCCCGGGCAGGATTTGCAAAACTCCAACTCAGCCATCACGCTATCTGAAACCCGAGCTAACGTTAAGAGTCTCCGTCCTTCGTCCTCACTGTGGGGTTTCTTCCAATCACCCCAAGGCTGATGCTGCTTGCTGACGACAGCCTGCTTGGACAATCAGAGAGCACAACACATGATGCGTGTCTTGGTCACCAGATAGACAGGCATCCACATTTCAAATCGAGACAAATGTCCAGAGGAAAAAGAAACGGATGGTTGCGGACACCTTCGGCACTGCAGCCGATCCGGGCGCCAAATGGGGGCCCATCTCCACACACTCGTGACAAGGGGTGCGGACCGGCCGGACATGGGCATGGTGCGGCCGTCCGTCGGCAATCGCCAGGCTTGCCGCTGGTGGAACACTACGCTATCTTCCGCAGTGTTCGCGACGGAGACTTGCGGAAACTGCGTCAGATGGCGGGCTCCAGCACCGCATTGGACATCCTTTCTAGCATGAATGTCTCTGAGGGTGCGAGCCTGATCTCTCACAACAGCTCCGGCAGGCGAGGAGGCAGGAAGCTACGCAGGTGGGATGATGGTGCCACCACTTGACCACTTTGATACGCCTCGTCATCGGAGGCCAAAGTCGTACTGAATTGCGGCAGATCTGCTCCGCGAGGGTGAAAGTGATGGCGAAGTGCCATGTGTGTACGAAGTACGTACAGTCGAATACCCACAACCTACTCAACGTTAGCGTCTGACTTTGAATGGGCTAGCTTGGCGCATTATCCCAACTTTCCACACGACCGCCTGGAAGTTGAAACATGTGTTCGACATGTAAATTGTGTTGAAGGCGGCCTGGAGTTTTCCAGAGCACGCCCCATTGCTCGACGACAGGTCAATTCACTTTCTACGAGGTATTCTATGCGCGCATGGAACTGCATATCGACAACGACAAAACGTGCTTTGGCCTTGATTCGTCCCGCCCGCAGTGGATGCTGCAGGTGAGTCTGAAAGCGGTTTAGCTCAGGCAGCTCCCCATCGCCGATGAGACGGGGTGAAAGCCGTCAGAGAGGGGGTTCGCGGAGACGGGTGCAAAGATCTCCAAGATCCACTTCCTGAACTTTTCTGCAATCAATGCACATTGAAAGATGCAAAAGACCCCTTTTTACAGCGCAGTTAGCCATGGCATATGCCTCAAGTGGCTCAGGAAAGGTCACAAAGGTCAAGCCGGTGATGTCTCGTCTCACAATTGATGCGGTTCAAAGCAGCACGGAGGAAGGCTTGGGAGTCACTGCGGCTTGCCTATCAGAGGGCAAAACCCCGCTTGAGCACATAAACACTCCTGAGCATTCCAGTGAATACCTTCGACCATTGCCGGCGGCATGTTGGCATACCCAGTGGACGGTGGTTTCTGCCCTTGATTGGAAGAGTGATAATCGAGGGTCTGCTGCATGCAGGTCGAGGACGCTTGCGCTTGCCGTCGAATCCAGGAACACACCATCCAGACGAAATCGCCCCAGCGAAGAGATTGCCAATTGACCAGTGCGGAGGGCAAGGGCAGCCAATGGACAAGCACGGCCGAGGCCGGTTTCCAGTCTGCCTCTGGTGGCAAGTCCTGCAGGCTGCTGGTGGTGTGGGTTGGGGTGCTTTGGGGGAGCATGAAGGGTATGTTGAGGGTGGCATCGCAGCCTGCAATTTCAATAGCCGCTGTTCTCCATTCGACAGCAGAGTCGTCGGCAGACTGGGGAACCTACATAGCACATACCGTTTCGCCTTCCAAGCCGACAAAACTGCTGCGATGGTGCGGGCCGTAGAACACCAATTTGAGGTTGAACGAGGCTCCCGTCCTAGGACCCCCACATCGGCGACCCGTCGCTCGAAGGGCTCTGATCCGCCAGGACTGTTTTAACTATATCTGTGCTTGCCGGCCGCTGTTGGGTACCGCAGCGATAAGGGAAACGCAGCCTAGGTCTATTGGATGGCTGAAGTACAATTGCTCCCGAGGCATCAAATGCGAAGGCCGAATGCTGAGGCGCTTGCTGCTAGCATGTAAAACCGATGGTCGAGAGACGTAAACATATCTTGTAAAGCACCCTACAGCCGTTTAGTCCATCATGTGGACTTCGCAGACCGGTTCTCGCTTTATTGGATGGCGTAGGGTAGAAAAAGAAAAAAATTTGCTGCTTCGTGCGCCACGAGGCAAGGAACGCATTCACTCCATGTTAAAAACGCCTGATCGCTGAAAGCCGACTACAACGCCTGAGGCCACCATGCGCAGCCCAACGAAACGCATTGGAGTGCGTGGGAAGACCCTGGCCCACCGGCCCAAGCCGTTCTTTGGTACCATACACTTTCCTGTCGCCTGCTCGATAGACGAGATCGAACCAGAGCTGGTAAGATTCTGAAAATCGGGAGAGGAGAGCAAAGAATCGACCCCCCACTCGTACCACGCATCTCTCATTCGCTTGGCATCATAGCATGAACAATTCCATATTAAAGCACCAACGTTAGCGTTAAGCTAGGTTGGGCGAAACAAGTGAGAGTCCATAGATCCCCTCAACAAACCAGCGGATAGCAATTGTTCTGGGTGGTTTTTTCGTTTGACATCTTCTCTTTTTTCGTTAGGTCTTGTAGTCTGGATCTGCACTGACAAGATCGAGAACGCCCTTGACTGACCACACCCCGTCACAGCGTCCTCTGTGGGCGCTGGCCAGCCAGAATGCGTCAAGAGAGGCTGCAGTCTCCACTCTCCAACTCACAAATGACCAAGGTGGTGCCACGAAAAGGCCATGCTAGACTCACGCCTCACTAGAAGAATTTTCCCCCACACCAGCCCTCTGATGACGGAGGGATCATAGCGCAGATTGCAGCCTCCCAGAGGCAAGACCCACTTGACGAAACCTTTGCTCGAAAGGAACGGGTGCGTTCGGTACTTTCCATGCAGTGATTATTTAGTACCTTGCCTGTGTTTTTTGCATTTAAGAGACCTGGCTGCGTGTCTCTGTTCATGTACGCTCATGGCGTCAACCTACACCACGTCTGAAGAGCCTTCATGGGTCCTTTATGGTCATGGGCTCTGGCCATCCCTGCTTTCTCACACACCCGCAACAACCAGGGCAGGCAGGGGCCAACGATACATAGTTCAGGCGTCCCCAGCTTCTCAACTCCATTCCCACCTTGTAGCAAGATAGCTTCGTCTTGGGTTCCTCACACTCTCCTTCGTGCCTCCCCACATCGCCTTGCCGTGGATTGGCATTCCATTGCTATGAGTCAACAACCATTCGTCTTCTTATAGTCGACCATTCCCTTGGGAAGCAGCTCACAGCTTCGGTCTCTCTCTCCAATCTGCACATTGAACCTCGACACCGTCACACATCTCGAGCTCCCCTATACCTACCACCCAGCTCGCGTCGATCAGCTCCCAGGGAGACAAGCACCGCACCACCGGGTGCTTAAACCAGTTCTCGAAAACTCCATTTCCCCATTTTCCATCTTTGCGTCCACCACGGCCGCCATGTCTCTCGAATGGACACACGAGTTCTGCCTGGCTTGCGACAAGCAAACCGACGGCACAACATACTGCTCTGAATCCTGCCGGCTAGCCGATTATGAGAAGACATCATCATCATCGAGCTCTGCAGCGAGTTCCCCGACGTTAAGCGAGTCACCGTGCGATTGGTCCTTCACCAAGCCGGCAACGACAAGTACCACCAAGTTCTACCTGTCCCCGGCCTACGACTTCAGTCTCGCCTCTCCGAGCACGCGGAGGGAATCGACCCGTCCGGCTCTCTCACCCTCAACGTCGCACTCCAGTCTATGCTCCATACGGACCAACTCCTCTGCGGGACTCGACCCGGCGCAGCTGTCTGAAAAGGCGACAAGGGAGCTTCGAGCATATGCCCGCTCTTTCGAATCCGTTCGGCTTCAGCGCAGACGATCATACTAGACAACCACCGCGAAACTTTGTTCTTACACTCTGCAACTATACCCCACCTCAATTGGTTTCCACGTCCGTTCCTAGAACATCACACAACTCAGCCTTCAAGGTTTCATTTGTCTCTTGCGGCCTTGTTGTAACAAAAATCTTGCATCATCGGAGCACAGCATCATAAAAAAAGTTTGGGTATTACTGGTGGTTGGGTTCATACAATTGTACTTTCCATTCAGGCGTATTGGCTCGGCTCACACTTTGGGTACGGGATGAACGATACATTGGTATTACGGAGCGAAAGGAACATGTTCTGAATTTTTTTTTTTTTTCAATTTATTTATTCCTTTCTTTATATGTTTTCTCCGGGCATTATGCATCTGGAATGGCCTGGGTGGACGCTTCGGGCATCGGTTTTGGCACGGCACGCTCAGACTGCTGGGACCTGACTTGCTAGCACAAGGATACGGGTTGGCGTTGGACAGCGACACGGCATTGGGAGGATTGTGTGCCAGCAGCCATTGTTTTTACTGGACTGGGATTTATGATCATGTCACGATGGAATCTGAATTTCTCTGGATGTTGGAGTCCGGAATACGGCCAGACTTGGCTCACGGCTCCAAGACGTCTCCGCACGAGGGGCCGGCACCTCTATAGAGATTGGCAATGGTCAAATGGAGCTTGTTTCAGTCCACCAAGCACAGCAGTTTCAACTGCAGCGTGTGAATTGCTTGCTTGTCTCGCATCGTACAAGGCAGTTCCGAGTTGCGATGCCTCTACCTAATTGCTCTAATTTCAGCCGGCCATCTGGCGGTGGTTCGAGCGGTGCTTTTCCTTCACAATTCTACTGTCATCCCAACCACTGCGGGACTGCCAGAGAGGCACAAGCGGGGTTCCAATCCCGTCCCGCGCCGCCAGCATGTTCCGATGGTGCGAAGAACATCCATTGGAACCACCTTGTCAATCATCATTTGGTTGCGAGAGATATTCCGGCACACGTTTGGCGGCCTTACCTAAGAATCGACGAGAACTAGGTACCTTAGGTATACCCACGTTACACTCTGCCAGTATCTAGCATCCATTGCATTGAACAGCCCATACTGCTACTCTCTGCATATTGGCATCGAACGGTATGCACCATCTATTCTTTGTCCTCGAATTTTTTTGCCCCTCCCATAGCGCAATGTTGTTGACCCGGGAGGTGTGAACTGCGCCCGGAACGGTTCCTCCTTGGAGAGAAATTCATTCAAGGGAAAGAGCTGCGCCACGTTACACCCAGCCGCTCTCTGGTCTGCTATACTACAGGAACTACGAACACATCAGTCAGGATCTTGGCTGGTGGGGTTGGGCTTTTGGACCACTGAGAACAGACGGGTTGGCTTCTGTTGTCACGCCCAACAGGCACGAACAGAAGACGTGACGCTGTGGAAACTTTTCGGCTTGCAAATTTCATCAAGATAAACACAGGACGATAGCGCAATTGACTCAGACTCAGAGTCGACGCCTTGACCCCGTGTCCAGAACAGCAGTGGAGCTGCGTATCCACGCAGTCAATGGGCAAGGTTTTTTCTTTTTGCTGGCTCATGATCTCATCAGAGTCAGAAACCGGATCCAACAGAACAGACCAGACTTTACTATCAGCTGATGTGCTCGAGGACAGTTGCCTCTGCCGAAGAGGTCCTTTTGATAAACTAGAGGCAAAGTTTAATACTCGGAACTTTAGCTAAGCAATTCGCCCTGGCCTGCCCGGCACCGGAGAGGGTATGGATTCTAACACCCACACCGAGGTGAAAGCAAAGGACCTCAAAGAAACAACCATCTCGCCTCCCCCACAAACCCCGCGGTTCATTTTGGGGAACCCCCTTCATCACTTTTTTGCCCCATTCCATCTTTTAATTCTCAAGATCCGGTGAGAATCGATATACCGGCTAGGCCACCAGGGCGGGTACGGGAATAACGTCAGGTGAGGTACTTCCGAAGTGTATTACGTCCAATCTGGGAAAGGTAACTAAGGTAACTCTCACGATCTCCTACGTGCTCCTACTAATTTACTGGCTTGTTCCGGCTAAGCTAGCTAAGGTAGCCGGTCGTTGAGCATTGTCCCTGTCTCGCGATGATGGCGAGAGCCATTCAATGTCAATACTGTTACCTACAAACTACGCAAAGCATGACATGCCATGGCAAATGACGACAGAAAATGAGCAAATCTCTCCAACATAACCCAAAGGCACGTCAAGCTCACAGCAACGACAAAGAGAACCACGTCTCCCAAGGGGGCCGGCCCCACCTTATTACCTACTGGTAGGTGATAGATGGTGGACGAGAAATGGGTACGTATGGGCCGTAAAGAATGATACTGTCTCCAGGGAAGGGAAATGAAATTTCAATTTTCCGAAATTTCAACCCTCCTGTGAAATTTTTTCATTCAAGGGGCCCTTGAATTTCAAGATCCTCATGCCAAGGATATTTTTTCCCATTTTCCCTCCCACAGGCCAAGGGCTGAAGGACAGGATAGGTAACAGGTTGTCCTATTTTCCTAGGAAATTACTAGGGTTCCTGGACATCCTCCTGAAAAAGTCGGCCAATCGCGTCATCAATCCCCTCATAATCTGAGCATTTGAGAGCCCAGCAACAGGGTCAGTTGAAGAAGAAGAAGAAGAAGAACCATTTTGACGTTATTTGCGTTGTTGCAGGAAGGAAATCGAGGATGGTTTACCACCTTGATGGCGGACACTGGGTAGTAAGGTCGAAAGGTGGGCACTTACAAAACTGGGTTGGGCACACATAACCCTATCCCTATACGCTTACCGCCTTCCAGAGATGGTTAGCGGAAATGGCGGAAATTTCGAAATTCAAAGGTCATTTTTCAGTTTCTGAATTTCGAAGCCTTGATGGAAAATTTCCCATCCCTAACTGTCTCATCGAAGATGATCCGTTTTCTGCCCGTCATGGCGCCATGTCAGGGAGAGCACCCGATCTCCGGTTCAGGGCTTTTCGCCGTCCGCCCAATTGCCTCATCGCGCAGCAGAGCGGTTCCGTTCTTCAAGGGTCGCGTTTCTTCCCGTCTCTGGGCCTGCATTCCGCATGCGTCGCGGCATCCGGGTCCGGTACCGGCCGCCCCGGTTTGATGTGTGGTTGCCTGTTTGTTTGCTGTTCCTCCATCTGCCCTACAACATCAAAATGCGGAAACAGCCGATATCGACTTGTTGCCTGTAACACTGTGTAGGTATCATGTACGTACTTTAATTCATGGATTGTCGTTCTAACAGAGGATCATCTCATGCAATGGACGGTTGAATCTACGAAGACTGTAATCACCCTCCTGGTCTCTCCCACAGTAGATACTTGGAGCCCTTCCAGTTTCCGTGCCTGCAGATTCCGGGTATGTACGGAGTACAGTACATACATACAACTACCCTCGACGCAACTTTACCCTTCAACATCAGGCCACACATGAAGGGCGTGAATGCGAACCATCATGCTGTACTACAGCATACCCTCAAAGAGTCACAATAGTACACCCTTAGCTCATATTTTATGTCTAATCAGTTTAAACATGGGATGACATTGTCGCCCCTCCTACTGAAACGGACTGTATCCAGGTTTTCGCACTGGACTGGACGGGACAGGAAATTGCTGCATAGATGGAGGATGTATATCAATTCCACTGGCATATAACAGCAGCATTGGCGAGCCGTCTCTGGGAGCCATGCCGAGAAGGTTCTACATTCATACCTAGGACGGTATGTTACACTCTCGTAGCCTACTGTACCCTACTGTAGTGGACGTGTATGGCCATGTATTTTACCGCACATACCTTACACACAAGCAAGGCAGAGACGTTGAATTACTGCGTGGTCGATATTAACCAACATCCATAACCCCCACCTAATGCACTACCTTCTCCCTCCTTTCAAATCATGTGGTTTGGTTCGTCCCAACAGGCAGGGCAGCTGGCTTGAAAGAGCAGAGAGTGCGGTTACTTTACATCTGAATTGCAGGACCCCGTGCTGCTAAATTGTGTTCATTCTCATGCCCACGGACTCGCGGAGTATGCTGCAAACTGATCCGAAATCGGGCCCTCGGATAAGGTAGTGAGTAGGTATTCAGGGCATTAGTCCAAGAGACTCACTACCTTATGTACAGTACATACCATACAGTAATTCGGAAGTCAGAGTGGATATGCAAACATGACCAAAACGAGGGATGGATGCGGAGTAAACACGACGGCATAAAACTTTTTTTTCTCTAGGTCTCGTGAACGACGTATGTTTTGGCTTTGTCTTAGCAGCGGTGTTGCTACACGTGTACGTAGAGAGATGTTTCCACTTAGGCTCCGCTGAGGTCCATTGCTGGAGTCCTGGCGGGTCCAAGGATCTGTTCCACTGCACCGAAAGCAAATCAAGAACTGTTCCATGTGCACATGGCAAGAGACATCAAGGTTGTGGTATATTCGTCAAGGTTCTAGCAATGCATATTCGCCAAAGGCTCTTACAATACCGAAATTGGAGGAAGGTGTGCACCTCGGTGTGGGTCGACCAAGACACTAGCAGTACGTATGTACGTACATATGGAGTACGGTGAGCAAAGTTTGACGACTGGGAGCATTGCAAGCTCCTCTCATCAATGGATCATTGAGTGACTCATCCGATCCGTTCAATTCCTACGGTACAATACCTAGGCAGTTACAGCACGGGCTGGCGCCAGCTTGGTGAGCCTGGGTGTAGTGTCCATGTAGTGTATGGGAAGACATCATTTACCCTTTCATGTAAGGGCATCTTTTCGGTGACAGCTTTCCAGCCTGGTAGTTAAGCAAGAAACCTAAGCAATACATAATTACATATCGAGCTGGTCCCGGCCATAGATTGGTGGCGGTTATGCTTGGCTGTATCAACACCTACATGTATGAATGTAAAGACTCATCTATCTCTAGACCAATGAGCACGATTTACCATGCTTGTTTCGTCGAAGGATGAATGACACACGACAGAAGAGCCCCGGCATTGTGAACGTTATGTTGGCGGTTGAACGTTTTACATAATCCAAAGTCTGCCACCGATTGGGCAGGCCGACTGAGGGGTCCCACCTCGGGTCCTTCCCGTGCCGTTTCGGATAATTTAGCATTCTTGCGCAGCACGATCTCCGGCCTCCGATCACATTTCAGCCCGGTCCCGAGGCCAGGCGCTAAGGTAGGCACCTAGCCTACGGAGTACACTAGGATAATATCGACATTTTCTATCATTCTCATCAATGAGTGTTATACAAAGTAAGGTATGCACTCTGGCTAAGATTACATCAACTGCAATACATCCTCTTGATGCTCTGGTTATTCCTCGCCTCTTCCAGCAAATTCCACGCCCGAGGTAGCGAATCCAAATCTGGACGACCCCTGGTTCCAATCTGTCGGCCGCGCCGTTGAGTCCAACAACTGCAAAATTTTCTCTTTCTCATGCGTCTGTCGTACCTTGTCTCAACTGTCGCAGCTCTCGCCTACGCGCAGATGGTCTCCACAATGAGTTGCGTCGTTGCAATTGCCTCTTGACGCCTCATCCAACCCTAGCCATTCAGACCCGGAAGCGTGAGCACATTCCTACCCAGGAGCATACGCCTGGTGCTGGGCCGCAAACGCCGCAAGCGGCTCGCTGATTTCCATGCCTGGATCCAAGATTCAGACACGGAAAAAATTTTTGCAATGGCGTTTGAGGCCCAAGTCTCCATCTGCCACATGCCTAACACCTCCTAAAAAGGCTCCTGCGCTGTCACTGGTGATTTTCCATCCATGCCAGGGCTACACTAGAGTTAGTGTACTGTATGTACATATGCTTGATCCACTGGGGAAGCTCATTGACGACGCTGCATTGGCTAACGTTAGGCAAAATCAGCTCCAGTTCATGCCGGTCAACGTGTCAGCCGCTCTACCGCCCTGCCTCCCTGCGCTGTGAAGTTTTTGCCTTAAAGGCGACCAGCCATGCATGCTGCAAGGAAGCCCGAAGAATTCCGCAGTTGTTTTCCTCATTCCGAACATATCCGCAGCTGGTTGGCCACGATCCGGCTTCCCGACTGGCTTATCTACTTGGGACCTGTTCGAGGCGGTTGGTCTGTCAGTGTGTACGGATACTCAGGTACGTAAGGTATACACCAAAGATTTTGCAGGCTGCCGGTCGGGCAGGAACGGGCGACAATCTCTGCCTAGAGTAGGTATCGAAGACGCTGATTCATCCCCGTCCGATCCCCGGCAACACCCGCTTGCCACTGGCTTTATGTGTGGTGTGCCTGCCTAGCCTTGTGTGGCATGAGAAGCCGTCCCTCGGAAGACACCCGACTCCACCTGCCGGCCGTCCCCCGGACTCGGCAGCAGATCACAACTAAGAGCCCAGAGCCTCGCCGGGCAACCCCGTGTGTTTGTGTGGCCCTGTACTGTGCTGTACCGTGTTGGCTCCTCTGATCTCGCCAATGAACGACCGCTGGCCCGGTGACATGGGTGAATGTCTCGGCTTGGAACAACAGCGTACCCGAATCTGGTGGCTGACCAGTGATGGCCAGGAAAGGACGCAGTCTCGGGGCGTGGACGCAGAGTGGTTCAGCCCGAAGTCCAAAAGCCGTTGACGATGACACCGTGAATCCGCCGATTCATGCTCAATGAGCATGAAACAGCACTGGAAGCTTACTCTGGTAGGCACAGTGCTATGTATTGCCATCCCTGTCCCGTCCAATTCACTTCCAGGTTCTCCATCAACAGTGTCCCGCCAAGGGGCACTGGCTTGGCGCTTTGTTTTTGTTTGTCTACGTGGCTATGCATTCCTCGAGTCCCCTTCTAGACGCTCTCAGGCAAGGGTCGCTGGAATGTTCAGGGACCGTTCAGACAAGGCCAGTAGGATGGTCGAGCCGTTTGAACCTCTCATTGTCTCGGCCCAGCTGCTGCGTAACGGGCGTACGATATATAGCCGCCCAGTTGAGGCTGCCTCGTCGCTCGCCGCCAGCCGCTTAGACAAGCAGCCTCCATTCCACGGCATGAAGAGACGGGAGCGAGTGCGAAGTACCGGTAGTATGTGAGGAATGTAGGATCCTGTACTGCTTACCCGCTGCGCAGTGTGCTGTTTCAAGTTTGGACACAGACAAGGAGAAGCTTACACCACAAACTGTGAGCCAATATCCAGTGCAATGCTGCGAGGCGGGGCCGTTTGGTTCCGACTGGCCGGCCCGGGTTGTGAATGGTTTGGATGTTTTGTCGTCTTGCCTCTTGTAACGGCCAGTGGGCTTGTGATTGGAGGCTAGTTGGGTAGAGTAAGCCCACATGAGCCTATGAGGAAACTATAGTAGGACTAGCTTTCGACTCCCGTGTTGTATCTGCCGTGTGGTGTTCAACGGTTCCATGTACGGCGCCGCGGGCGCTTCCGAGCCTGTTATCGTATGGGTGATCTTCCTCTGATCTGTGTAGAAACGTTGTCATATCTCACTTCGCAACTTAGGGTGGCGGTTGTCGCTAGGTTGACGCCCTCTCCCGTCTGGATGAACGGAGAGACCTTGAACTTGGTATCTCATTGAATGCTGAGTCTGGCATTGATAACTCCATTAGTCAGCGTATCCATGAACGGCAGACACATATCATGATGGTGATTAGGGCCAGAAACTAGGTAGCGGACGTCTCTTCGGACTCAATCGCTCAGGTACAGCTAAACACCACAGAGGAGTCTCGTCCCTTGCTTGAGTTACTTGCTTCACTACTCCCACTTGGGCCCGACCTGTCCAATTCTTGCTATGTTAAGTTCAAACATCACTTTATCCGCAGTTGCCGCGCTCTAGAGCCCGCAGCATCTCGAACCCTGGGAGCGTGCCACGTCCTCTGTGGTATTCCGGTCAGATTCCTAAGGTAGTATCTGGAAAAGGGCGATAATCTCTCATGGTCGCAACAGCCAGCTAGGCTCAGCTAAAGCTTCCACGTTTGCTAGCTGCGCGCTCCCGGTAGCGGCGTACTAATGCACTTCGTACGATAGACCTGACAGTTGCGTGCTTTTTACTATAGTAGTGCTCTGGCAGCTTATGGCGCGGCGACACGCCGCTGATCCTTCGCTGCGGTCAAGCTGTTCGTTGATCAAATCAGGCGGATGACTTGGTCAATTGAGCGGTCCGCCCTGCGCAGAAGATGATCAGATCCTAACCATTGAAGTTGAGCGGGAAGAGGGCTGGTTCGTCCATTGAGTAACCGATCGGTCCGACCCTGTCTCAGCATGGATTGTGTCCGATAACTGGGGAAGGGGGGTGTGAGAGACTGGTTGATGGTTGGTTGGGTTGTGCTCAGCTGACTGGCAGATTTCAGGTTAGAAGCACGCCGCGCGTTGTCCTCGAGCGGACCTGAGGTTGCTGCACTGCCAGTGTCAGGTACCTCAGGCTACAGTGCCTTGGACAGCCAGTCAGACTGCTCCCTCCATGGAATGGAACTCCTGCATCTGGTCTCTAGTACTAGTGCTCTAGGCCCTGATTACAAAACCAATGAAGGGGCATTGCTAGGTCAACGCTCACGGGATATAGTCCGGATAGCGTTTCTCCCTCTCTGCCCTCTGACAATGAGGCTGGAAGTGTTGCGCGAAACGCTATGGCCAGAGAGAGGTGTGAAGTGTCTCTCGGTACACCCTGACGCCTTGCTCTTTCCAACCCATATA